TGTATATATTTTCATAATGTCTCATGTTGTACGTTGTTTATAACATAGGTATTCTCCATTATGCATTGTTCTTTAGATAGGAGAGGCGACCAGTACTAGAAGGCATTCAAAACGGTTTAAACAGCGATCACTAGCATTTATGTAGCCCGTCCCATCCTCCGTAGGAATACGTAGTATGTATGTATAGGTTGTTAATGGATGGCGTGTAGCATCAGTACACGGGACGGAGTACTTGTTCAGGGTGAGCCGTGGCGAGAGAAAGAAGGACTAGTTACTAGTTAGTGGGATAAATATTAGTAAGACGCTAGAGAGGCCATGAAGGTACTTCAGAAGAACACACATGGAGTTCCTAAAGGATAAGGGGTGCTTTCTCCAACTAGGGTCAAAATACTACCTGTGAAAGTGGACGACAACCTGAACCCACTGGACAGGTTTTCACAGGTGGCGGCGGCTTCTCGGGTCAGATTGCCGAGGCCCGATGTAGTCAATGAAACGAAGCCATTCGCCATAGATCATCGTAGATTATGCAGGAAGACCAGCTTTTCTTCATGTAAACTGCCCTTATTTACCCATACTGCCCCCACGAACCTCAATTAGCTACTTTGATATAATGTCAAACACAGGAGACAAGCGGAGGTCAGTGCTGATCACAGGGTAAGTCACAAGAAGTGGTCCTGCAACAAATGCCGTGGTATAAACCCCGCATATGTTTATGGCAGTACCGACACCCTTGAATTTCTTATTGCTTATTATATAGTTGCTCCCCCGGTGGGATAGGAAATGCGCTTGCGCGTGAATTCCATCAGCAAGGTCTACGTGTGTTTGCGACAGCGCGAGATACGGCGACACTGCAGAGTCTGGCAGCCCTCGGGATTGAAACACTGAGTCTCATCGTAGATGACGAAAGGAGTGTCCAGACATGCTATTCAGAGGTTCGAGAAAGGCTTGGAGAGAAAGGACTGGATTATCTGGTCAATAATGCGTGAGTTTACACCAAATACAGCGAGAACAAGGCTGATCCGGATCTCTAGGGGTCGAAGTACGTCTGTTTAAAGTCACTACTGCGAAACACACTGCCTACGCGTCGCCAGAAAGAAAGAAATGGCTCATATATCACAGATTATACTGTTCCTGCTATGGAGGTAGACCTCGCGGAGGCTCGTGCAACCTTCGAAACGAATTTATTTTCTGTCATCAATATGTGCCAAACATTCCTCCCGCTACTCAAGAAGACCCAGGGTACCATCGTACAGATTGGCTCTATCGCAGGGGTAAGTTTATGCAACACATACCCTTCGACAGGAAATGAATCTTATCCTATCTAGGTCATCCCATATGTATTTGGATCAGTGTACAATGCCTCGAAAGCCGCGTTGCATTCGTTCAGTGATACTCTTAGGGTGGAACTAGCTCCCTTCGGGTGTGTATTAGCCAGCTCATCTTCCCAGGCCTTTTAATTAACCTATGTAGTGTAAACGTGACGACTGTTGCCACTGGAGGTGTGCAATCTCGCATTGCTCGTGTTAAACGAACCCTAGCACCGAATTCACTTTATGCTCCTATTGAAGATGAGTATAATCGTCGCGTGATACACAGCCAAGACGGTGCAATGCCACACACTGCATATGCAAAGAGCGTTGTTGCACAGATCTTGTATGGATCAGCACCGTGGCGCTGGTTATGGCCATGGGCTCAAGGCCGTAAGAGCTGGATATGGGAAGGCAACAAGAGCTGGGTGGTTTGGTTCTTGTCTGGAGGTTGGGCTTGGACTGGCATTTTCCACTATGCCATGATGAGAATGTTCAAGCTTTATAAGCTGAGGAAGATAAGTGGGAAATAAGGAGACCGAACCCATGACTTCCTTTTCACTGGATTTAATAGCATATCCACGTCGAAGATACGTTTTATAGACACTGGAGCATAACACTATCATGCGGAGCTACCTTATGCCCATCTTGATAATACTCATACATTAACTTCATGTCACCAAATAACGTAGTACTTTGTTTTTAGTTGTTCCTGACAGCCGTTTAAATTATTTGCCGGTTAATATAAATGCTGAAATGCTGTACAAGATATGAATATAATAATAAAAAAACATATTCATCATCAGTGCGCGGATACAGATTAGTAATTTTTATGTGTTACTCATCCCTGAATAGAATTTGGCAGTACATCCCATCTACCAGTCCACTCCGTTTGTTATGCCACACCCGAGTTCAAAGGGATACTACTAGTGTTGAGCATTGTTCCGTGATATTCGCGTCCCGAACCGATTAGTCATCCCGAGACGCACGCTGGTTGGCTTATCAGGTGACCCCGATCCTTACCGTACTCAAGGCAAAAGACAGTATCATCCCGAGGAGTGCGGCCGTGAAAAAGAAAGCTGTTCCCCCATCAGCCCCTAACACTACCTGGCAACACGCCGCTATTGAGGACTTTAATACTCATTTTTCCTGTTCTTACCCTTCAACGAGCTTCTCTTGAACTCTCTCCCCTCCTTTAAATTCACTTCACCATGTTCAAGCTCGCCCGCAGCAGACCAATCGCGGTAGCTTTCAGAGCTGCGACGGTGAGATTCCTTAGTTTCACCCAAACTCTCGAGTCTCACAACGACACACTAACTGACATTGGGATTTCCCACAGGAGTCTTCTGTTCAATCTCGCATTTTCCAGCAACAGAGGAACCTGTCGATCCATGAACATCTGTCCGCGAAGCTCCTCAAGTCGGTACGAACAACCGGATGCCTTGGATTCCCCCCCCCCCCCCCTCCGTCTTACAGAACTAACCAAGCGGATACATAGTATGGTATAGGAATGCCCAAGGGTGAGGTCGCTCACTCTGCAGAGGAAGCCGAAGCTGTTGCCAAGTCCCTTGGTATGGTTTAATCCCTCGGTACTTATAAATCGCAGTTTGCTAAGACGCAGGGTGTCAGGCAATGATGATATGGTTATCAAGGCTCAAGTTCTTGCCGGTGGCCGTGGTAAGGGTAGCTTCGATAATGGTCTTAAGGGCGGTGTGCGCGTTATCTATTCGTGAGTTTAGCCCAGTTCTTAGGTGTGCCGGTTTGGTTCCTTGTATCTGACAAAGAATATCTCCTCAGGCCTACTGAAGCCAAGATGTTCGCTGGTCAAATGATCGGACACAAACTCATTACGAAGCAGACCGGTGCTGCCGGCCGTCTTTGTAACGCTGTGTATATCTGCGAGCGCAAGTTCGCTCGCCGTGAGTTCTACCTAGCCGTTCTCATGGATCGCCAGTCGCAAAGCCCCGTCATTGTCGCCTCTTCACAAGGCGGTATGGATATTGAGGCCGTTGCCAAGGAAACCCCCGAAGCTATCATCACCACCCCCATTGACATTAAGGTCGGTGTTACTGATGAGATTGCTGGCAAGATTGCTACTGAGCTCGGTTTCTCCGAGCAGTGCGTTCCGGAGGCCAAGGACACCATTCAGAAGCTTTACAAGGTCTTCATGGAGAAGGATGCTACTCAGATCGAGATCAACCCTCTGTCAGAGACCTCTGACCACCAGGTTATGGCTATGGATGCCAAGTTGGGCTTTGATGATAACGCAGACTTCAGGCAAAAGGAAGTGTTCTCGTGGAGAGACACCACCCAAGAAGACGCTGATGAGGTTAAGGCTGCTGAGTATGCTATTTACTATAACCTACACATGAGCTTTAGTGGGTGCTAACATTGCGATAGGCACGGATTGAACTTCATCAAACTTGATGGTGATATCGGCTGCTTGGGTGAGAACCGTGTTGAGCTACTTATCTCTTCTATGCTAACCACATATCTAGTTAACGGTGCTGGTCTCGCCATGGCTACCATGGATATCATCAAGCTCAACGGTGGCAATCCCGCCAACTTCCTTGATGTTGGTGGCGGTGCTACCCCTGCTGCCATCAAGTCTGCTTTCGAGCTTATTACCAGCGATCCTAAGGTGTCGGCCATCTTTGTCAATATCTTTGGCGGTATTGTTCGCTGTGACGCCATCGCCCAGGGCCTGATCAATGTTGTGAACGAGATGGGACTGCGCACTCCTATCGTTGCGCGTTTGCAGGGTACCAACATGGAGCAGGCTCACAAACTGGTATGAAACTATGCAACCCAGAGCCTAATTTCTTCCCCGTCTTTGTTTCTTCTTTCTATGATAGCTTAAACACGCGCTAATACTTCTCATAGCTGAACGAGTCGGGGTTGAAGATCTTTTCCATCGAGGACCTTCAGAACGCCGCTGAGAAATCTGTTCAATTCTCGAAAGTTGTAAAGATGGCCCGCGAAATCGATGTGGGTGTCGAGTTTACGCTTGGCATCTAAGCTCTGCGTTGTATTAAAACTTTACAATCTTCTTCGCATGTGGGTGTTCCGTTCTTTTTGAATTTACGTTTTATTACTTTATATGGGGATGGGGATATCATCAGTGGAGGTGCTTATTCGATTATGTGAAGAGAGCAAGCAGTCATTCAAGGACGACTCGGTGATCATGCGCATTAAGTCTATACTAACTGAATTTTTTGCACAGTAGATGGGCCGCTGAACCTGGGTAATAAGGAAGCCTACTAGTGAAGGACTGATATCAGGTATTCAGGAGAGAGTCGTGGGAGGCATTTTCATAGAGCAACCATTGATGGTCCTGTATATCGTCCATTTCCAGATTTCTTTTCCTTTGTTAATGTATTCATTACTCATTTAGCTGGAGGCATTTTTGCCCTTTTGGGAGGCACTGGGTCATTGACAGATACTACTAACCGTGTAGACAAGGCTGTACATTTGTAATCTTGGAGAATTTGTATAATCATAAAGCACGAAGACAAAGCAGGTGCCTGGAAAACGAAGAGCCAACCGGCGATCTAGCACGGTTTTTGTAGTTGTTTTCAGGTCCTTTATAATGGAACGGCTCTTGATAGACTTAGGTTGTCGTTAAAACACCAAACTTTCAGTCCGTTTTGATCAACCATTAAAATGAAGTCACGATCTCCTCTAAGCGTGAAATTAGTCCCATGCGAATAGACCCTGTTTGACGCCTCCCTCGGTAACTGGGGATTGATACACCTGGCAGGGCGGTGGGCGATTCTGGAATCTGGATTAGAAATCCAGATCTCGGGTTTTCCATTGTCGTTCTTGACATAGTAAAGGATGTTACTATCAACAGATGTCATGCATACAGGAATGAACAGCGTATTCTCTGTAGACACCACATTTACGCTAACCCTGTCAGTTTCTTGATTGTAGGCGATAGCGGCAATGTCACCGGGCGTTTCTGTTAGACAACCGCCTCGCCCGAATGTTAAGATCCCCATCGCATTTCCAAATGTGGAGGACAAAGCGTCATCTATCTCCACGTGCCAGGCTGGGTCTGCGATTGAGCATAGTGCCACCGTATAAGATGGGGGACGAATGGCAACAGTTTCCTTGAGTGAATATTTATTGACACGCAATTGTGCAATGAGAGTATCAGGACCCACGGTTTCCTCGAGGTGAACCGTTATCAAAGTACCTGCAGTAGGGTTCACATCTATATATACTGTTTTCTTTGCGATATTAAACGTATGAGTAACGCGACTGTCAAGCTGCCAGTGTATAATACACTCCGGTCCGCTGGCTGTGGTGCCTTTGAACGCCATGACGACATTCATATTACGAACAACAAAGCATTTCCAGTGCAGCGATGGCAGTCGGAAGTACGCCGAATCGTTGGTTTGAAGGCTCCAGACATGACAGAATCTTAAGTCCCGGAGAACATGGATCTGCAGCATCAGCTAACATATGTCAAATATGAGACACAATTCAGAAGCATCTGCGCTTACCCATGCAATGTTATCGCTGCTATAATAGATTCAGAAACGCGTACTGCAGCGAATGTATCTCGGTTTTCTGTGCAGAAGCTCTGAGTCGTATTCAAGTGGAGGTTATGGACATATACCATCGCATCTTCAATCCATGCATAGCTTCCATGCGAAAAGTCAAGGCCAACTAAGCCTGTCACATTTGGCATCGGAGAATACGGACAGTTGAGGACTTTAGAGATTGGCTGTCCACGTTCCAAACGAACACGCTGCTTGGCATATCGTGTAAATGCATCTGGAGAATCTAGTGTAATGGAGCTGCAGTTATGTCCGACATATCGAAGACACACAGCATCACGGAATAGCTTGGAGGATAGCAGACAATTCCATCGCTTGGAAACCTACAATATAATATTAGTCTGGGGAGACGGGTCACTATATATATGACAAAGTTAGACATACTCTTCGGAAAGTATGGATTTCTGACAAATCTAGATGTCTGGAAATTTGCACAGCAACCTCGGTAGGTAGACTGCCCAGGATGTCTTTTTGAAAGGAAACTTGGTTCATGCGATCACGCACATCACGCCATTCATCAGGGTGCATCTGCTCCAGAAGAAGATGGTACCTATGGGGTCAATGATTAGCAAGGTTTACTAGAATACGTTTAGGAGGCGGTTCTCATTATATCTCCTTTTTGTGGTTTCACATACACAGCCCGGCGAGCAGAGGTAGACTTTAAATCCTTGAACTGGGTGAGGATGCCCTGTACTTCGGGATCCATAGTAGTCGTTGGCCACTGCTTATTAGGGGTTATATATTATAGGGAGGAGAGAAAGGTATATCTCACACGTTCAAGAGATTCCAGAGATGTCATGAAAGAATACATAACGGGCAGAAGAAATAATAACCTATTGTTCACTAGACTGTCTGTGGCATTTCAAATTAAGAAGTGCGGTGGTTCAGGGTTGCTTCTACAGCTGCGGCTCCGTGCATTTAATTGTTCCAGGCCTTCCCGTGATCCATGCATGCTTCTCCTTCAATCATCGCCTTTATGTCCCTTTTTCTTTTCTTTTCTCTTCCTTTTCTTCTTCCCTACCTCTTTGGGACTCACCTTCGACCATATCCCAGATACCTCTATCCTCTTCCGACCCCGCATTTTCAGTAGGGTCAGAATTATTAACATTATATATTTGACAATATTGATTTGCAATCTCGACACAGGAACGAAGAAAATCAATCGGCGGCTCCCGCCTCCGTTTGGTCATTTTCCGCCGAGGACAAAATCCCGCCCATGAGGGAAAAAAAAGAAGCTATTCAACAACTAGCTGTTCCCTGCAGATCTATATTGCCGCGAAGTTCTTACCACATCTTTACGGTCGAATTTTCTATCCCTTTTTTGTTCACCGCAGAGCTCGAACCAAACTTTTAATCTCTGGTTGACAGAAAACGAAACTTAAAGGAGGGAGGAGGAAGAAAAGAAGAAACCAAACGAAACGAAATCAACCAATCAAATTGTAGGAAAGAGGTTTTCCTTTTTCCCTTCTCTTTTCTTTTTTTCTTTTCATTTAATTTCCTGTTTATTTTTATTTATATTATTTTTTCTCTTTAAAAAAGGGGGGAAAGGGAGAGAGACATTTGACAATCAGGTGTTGGTATACCAGAATCTTTTCACCATTGACACCAATAGATCAAAGGACAAATTCGCAATGACTCGGGAAGCGGAGACCCTCTAAGTGTTGATCAACGCCTTCTTGGCCCAGACTGTGATAACCATCAGCCTTCCCACGTTCACCTGTCGTCTACGAGCGACTACCAGCCGACAAACCTCACTCTCCAGCCAACATTTACGCCATCTACCGGCACACCATTCCACTTTTCGCAGAAATAGTCGCGATCCTGTTTCACGACTCGCTGCTGCGGCCCTTGGCCGGAGCCCTCTTCCCCTGTTCCGCCTCGCGAGATGAGCGGTCTCGCCGACCCCCCGTCTAGAAATACCGTAGTTTCTGGCGCTACAGATGCGCCTGGCAGGATACGAAAGCTTCCTCTCCTCTCTTCCTCCGTTCCATCTTCCGGTCCACCGATGGGTGATCCTATGGAGGTCACTCCGCCTGCTTCAGCAGCGGCAACGGGCGCTGGGCCCTCGGTCCACAACAATTCCGACAATGATCGAGCGGGCGCAAACACTATAACCACTTCCAATGGTTCTACTGAACCTGGGCATGTACACAATCATGCAGCGCCCAGCCAGGCCATCGGAGCTGCGGCTGCAGCCCAGCAGCCCAAGGTCGTGCAAACTGCCTTTATCCATAAGCTGTATAAGTACGTCTCGCAAATTGTGACCTGTGATTGCTTGAAATACATCATTAGAGATGCCCTCAAGTGAGTTCGTGCTAATAGTACCTGACAGTATGCTAGAGGACCCAAGTATCCAACATCTAATTTCATGGTCCAACACTAATGACAGCTTCGTCATGTCGCCTACTTCCGAATTTTCTAAAGTTCTTGCGTTCGTCTTCGCTTGTGCCAGACCCTACACCAGTTGACTTATAGCTAATTAACTACTAGCCAATACTTCAAACATACCAATATCTCGTCGTTCGTAAGGCAACTGAACATGTACGGGTTTCATAAAGGTATGTCTACCCGCTTGGCCAATGAGCTTTGTCTCTTATCTGTTGCTCATATGGCACGCCTTAGTAAGCGATGTGTTCCATACTGGATCTCCAGACTCAGCGCTTTGGGAGTTTAAACACGGCAATGGCAATTTCAAACGTGGCGATCTGATTGGGTTGCGGGAGATCAAAAGGCGAGCGTCTCGGCATGCGTTGATCCATCGCGACTCGTTTCCGGGCCACAAAGCCGTTGCCTCCCAACCTGGCACACCAGCCGAACCGGTCCCTGATGCCACTGAAGCTCGCCTGATGAATCTGGAGCATACATTGTACGACATGCATAACCGCTTGAGTCGCGCCGAAGAAGGCAATGCAGCACTCAATGCAAGATGTCTAGCCATGGCCGAGAGCTTGAGCAGGTGCTATCATGTAAGTTTCATGCTCTATGTCTTCATTCCCTAGTGTGAAATGAAAATATTGATTTTTCACGCTCCCTAGTGGACACATTCAATCTCGCGCTTTCTGCAAGGTATGATTCCGGATCGTGAAGGTCTCCTGTACAGAGATGGTGAGTAATAATACAACATACCCATAAACGAATTGCGGGGATTTCAAATGGTCCTTAACAATCTCTAGTTTCCAGTATGCAGGCAGAACTGGAGAAACACCTCGACAGCGTGCGAGCCCTCGAGCATCCCCCTGATCCGTATCTCTCTATTCGACAGCCTTACGTACCAACTGTATCAGTTGATCCAGGCCCGCCTCTATCCCCGCGTCAAATGCCACAGGAAGACAGTCGTCGGCCTTCGATGATGGATACGGCCAGACCTAACATGATACGACCACCTGTTCCTTCACATCTAGCTGTATCGCCTCGTAGATATGGCTCAATTGGCGCGGCAAATTCTTCCCCAACTTACGGCCGCCCGCAGGTCCCGACAGTCATTCCCCCACAACAGCCGATGCCGCATCCTCTTTCATCCGTCTCTTCCCCGCCGGGCCCAAACTTGGCTCGTCGACATACATCTGCAGACATTCGGCAGCATGGCTGGCCGCCCCCTGGCGTGTCCCCATTCCAGTCTGCTCACCAGACTGCTACAGCAACAGCTCCCTGGTCTCCGTCACCACACCGAACCCCGACTTCAAGTGACCAGCAGGTTCGAGAAGTTCTGGCACAGTATGAGATGGGAGCACCACGACGTCTGCAGGATACCTCGCGTCACGCTACCCCTCCCTTGAATCCCGATCAAACACGCCCGGACCTACCACCGATAATGGTTGGACATTGGGTCCGAGATTTCCTCGGCATGACACCTCTTTGCCTGCGACAAGACGGTCAAGTATGGCTAGCAATGTTCATTCATTGCTAAATCCGGCTGATACCGCCGAAAGACCCGACGAGGATCAGCACGCAATGATCGAGGATCGGAAACGAAAGCGTCTGGAGTAGATGAACATTGGTCACCTTCTTGAGCTGTGCTCTTCGCGCTAAACGATGCATCTGTTAGGATCTTTGGCCTTTGATGATAATAACACCAAGGATCAATTACTCGTTCAGCTTCGATCTTGCCGTGTGGCGTACATTCTGGAAACAAAGAGACAAGTGCAAAGCTAAACTTTCAGTACTGCATATTCTGGGATTTTCGTCATACTATCTGGATTCTTCTAATTGTCTAAACCTTGGTGAATCGACAATCACACAATCCTTTGGCGATCTGACTTCATTGGGACTACGGATATCCCAATTATTCTTACTCAAATTTAGGGAAGCGCTTATTACTCTTCCGCCAGTATAGATATCTGTATAACATCAAAAGGTGGATGTTAGCATGTGACATACTACGGCTGCGTTGCTGATGCCAACATCCCAGGCTTCATTTGCCGTATATCACACACCCTCGAGTTGGTAGGGCTAAAAAGTTCTTGGGTATTCTTTAGAACCGAGAATGAATGTTGATATCTAGGTGCTTATACTCGAGTGTATATGTAGATCTAACAGTGGGCCGGTCCTTTCAGATCAGGGAAGTAAGCGGTTATGTGAGGTTTCAAGTGTGTATATAGCTCTATCCTTGTATATTGTATTATTATCGTCAAAGTATCTCCAGCAGATATACGGGGTATATTGAAATCCACGACCATGAAAGCCTGAGTAGGAGACAAATCTATTTCTTCTTCCTCTTCCTTGACCGCTCAGTAAGAATCTCATCTAGGAAGCTCGTAGCTTTCCTCCTCCCTTTCAGTCGATATGGCTGGTGTGATAAAATCCCTCCTTGCTTCACCGAAGTCTCATCCTCACCATCTCCACCGTCATCGCCCTGATCCCCACAATCGTCGTTGTCAGCTACGATGGGGTCGAGAGTCCTCGGAATATACTCTGCTTTTCTTTTCTTAGTCGGGCCTTTCTTCCCAACTAGAGCCGTTCGTCCTTCGTCCTCGTCATCATCATCATCATCCGCTCTGTCCATCGTAGTCTGGGACTGATTCGTAGCAAAGCTGGCACCTGATGAGCTTCCCATATTGCTCGGTTGTCGACCCGCCGCAGCATTCTTCTCTGACATGATTTTCTTATAATTCTTCCCAAGAAGTTGTCTCCGTAGTTTATCGTTGGAGTCAAGTTCAGTGCGATTCCAACTTCCATCGGCTGCTTTGGAGGGAAGGGGTGCCCCAACACCTAAACTGTAGCCATCATCCAATCAGCGCTATTCATACACCACACAGAAAAAGAGAGGGGGAAACAAAATAGAAACAAATAAAAATAAATAAATATGAAGGGCGAAAGAGAGGGTAGACGATTTTCCATAACAAAACATAGAGTAAGACCTACGTTTCCGGCACAGCTGTGAAAACTTCATCCTCTTCTCGCTGCAACTCCTCTTCAGACTTTGTATTGGCTTGTTCTTCCTGAGTCTTCGGGGGTAGCCATGAGGCGACCAGTCGCTGACTGCGTGCTAAAGCAACATTGGCTTTATTCAGTATAACATCTGTTTCCGTTTTGGATAAAGACATGATGTTGGTTATCCCACCTCGTCCTTGCTCTTTTCTTTTCGGCCCTTGTCCTTTCTATCTACAGTCAACTTTTTGGAGATAGCTAGGCGGAAGGACACGGCATAATATACTCACCGCTTACTAGTTTCTTCAGATCTTGCGGCTACGAATATGCCTTGGCACCTAATGACATGCGTTGAACTCGGTGGGTTACTACTAGTAGTAGTATCCCATTCTTTGCATATATGTACATTATATTGTGGTATGTAGACCGTCATTACAAGAACATTAGCCAGAGCCAAGTAAACGAGTCTAAATACATTATGCCCATTGTGTCGCTGTATTGACGCGCTTGGAATACACAGAATCGATATCCCTATCAAGGATGTCTATCAAAGTTTCAGATATCATATCGAATAGGAGGTCGTGTGGCCTGGTAGACTTAGAGTCTTTGGTGGGTTGATGGTTTTCTAAACAGCCTAAGGAATGGAAAGCAGCATCGAATGCCTAGCGATCGGGTGTTAGTTACTGCTCCCAAACAATACGAGGGGTATAATGGTTGACGTACCATTTGTAGTGTCTTTCGAAGTTCAATCAATAATCTGGCTGCACGATCGCCTCCCGTCTCTTCATTGGCCTGAACTAGGAAGTCCAGCCATGAATCCATGCATATTCTGCGGCCGCTTCCTTGGAGCCGCCCTCCCAGGAGGCAAGCGGCGAGCGGCGTGACATGTGAAGTTTGCTTTAGAAAATACGTGTCCCCCGAAGAAGGTTTGTTTTTCGAATTGAAGATGAACAGGCTCCTTGGTCGCTCTATAGAATTGACAGAAGAGGGTGACATATGTGTCATCTCATGTGTCTCAGTAAAGTAACGCCTGCGCGAGGCTGGTGAAGGAGCTGCAAGATTGGGATACATGACATGAAATAGCAGAGCTTTGATAAGTGGGGTACGCCATGAATTGGTATTCAAGCTGGCACCTCCGAACTGGAAGTGCTCATCCAGGTGTTCACGGCAGGAGATAATATTTTTCTTAGCTAGGAGCTCAAGCGTTTGGCGGGCAGCCTGTAACACTTCATAGACGCGATCGAAGTGTATATGGTTCGATACTGCAAACTCAAATGCGGCTGCACGACCTGCTCGATACCAGACCTCACGGGTCGCCTTGAATGCATTGGCCGCGCTGAGATGGTCACTCCAGGTGTTTCGTGAAAATTCTACACGAGTCCTGTGCACATCCTTACGTGTCTCCTGGTCTGCCGATGAGTAGAACAAAGATTGGTCGCCCCCAATCACCCCTATAATAAGAAGCGGATCAAGGCAGCGAAATATAATCCCCAACAAAATCAGCTTTGCGCTGCAAGGTTCAAGGGGTAACTCTGAGAGAAGGGCTCCGAGAGGGGTAAGCCCCTCTTTCTCATCCAGTGCTCTCAAAAGCTGTAGGTTACTAATAGCTAAGTCCACCTTGGCCACGTCCGGAGGTTCAATGGAGTCTCGTAAGGTGTCCTGAATGGAGGCAGACGATACTGCCCGCTTCACTTGCAAAGAAGTCCGTTGTAAGTCCTCCCGCATCATTCCTGGAAATCTAGCGACGCGGAAAGAATTGTGCATATCCCTCGTGTAAAGAGCAAAGTACTCTCCTGCTTGGACTCTGCCAGCTCTGCCTGCACGCTGAGAAGCGCTGGATTGACTAATCCAACAACACGCAAACCGGGTTGTCCTTGACTGTGGCTCATAAATCCTTTGATTTACCTTGCCGGGATCAATGACAAACTTCACATCTGGAATAGTTATCGAAGTCTCGGCAACATCAGTAGACAAGATAATTCGGCGACAAGCCCGCGAAACTGGACTAAAAAGCTCTTTCTGACCATCGGGAAGGTTTGAATGGAGGTGCAGGATCTTGTATCGACTACCATCAGAAAAATCGCAGCCTAGCATCTTTCCATGTTTTCGGATGGTAGTTTCAACGGCCATGATGTGACGTAAGCCTGGAAGGAAGACCAGGATAGAGCCTTCCTCGGTACTAGACAAGACATAACAGATAACGGCGCATATGAGGCCTAGTGGCATCAAAGGGTCTTCTTGAAGCATGGGTAGAGAAGATTGTAATACGGTTGGATCATGCGAACACTGGTCCCTACCAATCCCTTGCTCGTCAGAATTCGGGCGGTCTGCCACTGGCAGAAGGTTATACCTTCTGAAATACCGTGCTGTCTGGGGTTCAACGATCAATAATGATAGCGCTCGCGGGGGGTAGAACCTAGATAAAGACTCGATGACCTCATCTAGGTAATGTTTGCCAACAGGGAAAGCGCGCCCGGGAATACGAAGATGTGGAGCAGGCAAGCGACCTCCGTCGTCGACGATATTTTGAAAGTATGAAGCGAAAAGGCCGACATCAAGAGTTGCACTCATCACAATAATCTTAGGCGTATGCAACCCTAGGCCACGACGTTGATCGACGAAGTTTCTCAGAAAAAGCATGAGTAAGTCGAGGTCAAGGTCTCGTTCGTGAACTTCATCGAGTATGATGTGGGAGAAGGACACCAGGTAGGACTCGGAATGCAGCATTTTAAGGAGATAGCCTGTCGTGCAGAACGTGATTGAGCTCAATCTTGTGGGACGTCGAGAATCAAATCGAATTTGATACCCTACGGAGCATCCAAGTGACTCCCTTCTTTCTTTCGCAACCCGCTTAGCTAGTGAAGTCGCTGCTATTCTGCGAGGTTGGACGCAGAGTATCTTGCATACACTTCCAGAGCCCTTGGCCTTAGCATTGTTGAGCAACATCTGGGGCACTTGTGTTGACTTGCCGGAACCAGTATCTGCTACAATGAGCGAATATGTGTTCTTCCCAACAAGGTCAAGTATGTCATCCTTTCTTCTGCTGATCGGCAACCTTCCTTGACGTTTCCACAGCCCACCAACAGGAAAGCCCAATGAGTTATCTGCTTTGTTCTGCCCACTGAAACCGTCCTGGTCAGCTGTAATAGAACTCTCTATTTGCGCTCCACTGCACTTTGCCGTAGAAAATTTGCAGGCACGTCTTAAATCCCTCAAAGCCCTAAGCATGACAATAAACATATCTTCGTCTATATTCAGCTTCATATATTGGAATTCTTCTCGTAATTCGTTGAGCTCTTGCAGCAAACCACTTGAATGGAGCCTTGAGATCAAGGTCAACAAGGCCTGCAGTTCCGCTGAAGACTAACACACATTAGTTTAAGCAGTTAATTCGAGCTACCACTTCTCGTACCTTACCTTCGAGCTTCCTGTTCCGGACGCGGTTATAGTTGTAGACGTATGCTGAAGGGTGCAATTTACGGTGCAATCAAACTTGCCCTTGTCACGGCTTACAAATCGAGAGTTGAGCATCATCAGCCCTTTCTGAACAAAATCAGAATGGAGGACAGGCTTAGGTGACCGCAAAAGCACCTTTCCAAAACCATTATAGTCTTCCTCTCTTGGAAGAGCATCTCTAACAATTTGTGATTCGTCTACAGCACTGGCTGCATTTGCGTCTGGTGTTCTCCAAGACAAACCACTATTGTCGCACGCTAGCCCGTTCTCAGCTAAAGGGCCCCTTCCCTGGCTTCGCGATTGTGAGGTGGACCGCTCCAGGGATGCTTTTGTAGTTTCTTCCAAGGCACACGCTGTGGTTGACCTTGTCCTGGTCATACAGTAAGGGACTATAGCACCGTGAAGTAACTGGCGTCTCGGCTCTAAAAGTGACCTGCATATTTCCGTAGCGCGGTCTCTAGTCTGGATGCTAGGTAACACTGCGGCGTAGCAGCGAGTTGTGATGTTGCGGTATTGGGAAGGTCGCGTCGGGTTTAAAAGAGTGAGACGTATTTGTGGAGGACCATCTTTGATGCAGGAAAAATGCCTGATGCTCTATGATAGGGTGGTGATTAGCATTGACTGTGTGTCGCATGCATGAGAAAATGTAGAAGCTTGATAACATTGTACCGTATAGCTTTGCATTGCCGTAAGCCAGGTGAGGGTGCGGTGGTACTACGCATTGATCGCCGCATGAAGAAAGGAGAATTATGGGATAATAGTGGCGTATATAGCCATTTACTTGGTTTATGTGATGTTTGATAGAGTATACGGGAAAGAAAAGAAAAAAGATAAAGACAAAACAAGGTATAGATGGGCGGGTGAGGTAATATTCTTCTCTTTGGTTCATAAATTTTTAAAAAGTGAATATCATCAATCTAATTGGCCTTGGCGGGGCATAAATTCATTCAATCGCCATTCTACTAGTACCTACCATCTCTACTAATATCCCGCGGGTTCCAATTCTTCCAACTACACACTTAAAGCGCGTGTATCCAAATAGTAGAATATATTACGCCATTTCTATTATAAGCGAGTTCGTAGCGTCATTGAGTCTATATTTACATCTAGATCTATCTCCCCCCCGGTCTCTATATATATTGGTCTCAATAGGTATGAAGAAGCGGCCCCCAGCCTGAGCAATACCATGTATGTGCTAGGAAGCAAGGCCAAACTAAAGAAATAAAAAAAATAAAAACGATAAACCAACGCTCATGGCGCTTCTCCATAGTGTTGGTGTTTTTGCTTCAATTTTTTCTCCGTCTTCATAAACTCTCGAATCCCAACTGGGATGCTGGCAAACAGATCGTCTGCCTGATCGGGGATGGTCCAATTTGTCTCACTCCCTCCTCCATCGTCATCCATGCTAGTGCTCGCAGAAGCAACCTCTGCCCTTGGAGTGTGAAGCAAATCTCCAGTCGGCCCTTTCGAAGCCCCTTTGGCCTTAGCCTGCGCGATCTTCGCCGCCCAATCTTCCATCTCATCACGAAAATCATCCCAGACGCAATGCACACAGCCACTCATGCAGCAATTGTCAGGCTCCTCTGGCCGCGGTGGTATCGCAACCCCATTTATAGTTTTCCATGTAGACCCTGGCGGCATCGAAACGGGGTTATACCGTGAAGAGCGACCAGGGCCAGCCAGGCGAGTGCCAAATACAATTGACATCTTGTCCTGCGGCGAGTGAGGCTCGACTGAAGATGTTGACGACTCGTCATCCAATTCTTTAGAATTAAGACGCGAGGAACTTGCTTGGCCTCTGTAAGGAGAGCGAGACGAGAGAATATCACGATAGTACCCCGATAATGGATATGCTTGAATGGGTTCTGAATCGTTCAAGTATGCTGTCGTATCCTGGTACTTGGTATGGGCATGGCTGGCTGCTCGTCGGGTAGTGGGAAACGGTGCATATCGTCCGATAGACAGTGCTGAGACAGGGAGAGAGCGCGCCTGTTTTATAGGTAAAATATGACCTAGGCCCGACAAGCAGTGGGCCATTTTGAACACTGATCGCCCTTCACCCATGAAAAGAAACTTTGTAGTGCCAAGTGGTTGCTGGGAAGGGAAGAACACTGGAAAGTGCTCTTTGACTTCCGAGGCAGACATTATGTCATTATGCAAACAATGCAAACATTTGCATGGTGTCCCCCAGAATGCGAGGTATGCGTCGCAAGGTCTGCAGATCGCGTTGTTCTTCAATTCCAATTCTTGACTAAGTCGAACCCCCCAAGGTGGCTACGAAGGATTGGCATTGGCAAATCGGGCGTCTATACGTTTCTAGGTCATCTATCCTCGTCTCAGACGGCGCGAAACAAGTGTAGCGCTGCTGTTCTCAACACGTCGCCAATGAACCCGCGACCTGAAAATGAAAATGCACAGCGCCCGTCTGATCGCGCATCACACCAAGGACCATCGAGAGAAAGCTTAGTGCAATCGCGACCGGAGAGTCTGCCGCGCGCAACCAGCAACTCATCGAAGAGGAGCTCACAAATACCTATAACCCAAACTGAAACGAGAGCTCCCGGAATACGCGACAGAAAAGCTCTTAGGCCTTCACTGGTTTCAGATGCAAGTCTAAGGCTGGACATAAACTCACCAAGTAGGCGACCAAGTGATATTCAAGCGTTTGCAGCCCCTCCGAGGCGAGCCTCGAGGAGAATTCTTCCTTCAGACCTGTCATTCAAGTCTTCAATAGTGACACAGGGGAGTAAATTGGATCGTGGACTACCTGATAGTCCAGACGACCAATTAGCATCTGAATTGAGTAACGCAACGGGTGAAGCCAATTCACATCCAGACTTGCATGAAGGGCTCGAAGAACCTGATCTCCCCCCAACCCCAGCACAATTAGGCTTAGAAAGACCCCCCGCACGTCCAAAAGGGCTACTTAGCAGTAGTCCAACTATGCGACATGGTAGTTGGGGGAAACGACGAACCACTAACCATCTAGAACAGAGCCCCTCTAAGCTTAGGAATGCTCATTATGGAGAAGGAGACGAAGGTCTACTGGAATCTGACTCAAATATGGCTCAAGGACTATTTCCAGAGCCCGTTTTGAAAAAGCGGCGATTGACAATGCAACTTGCCACCGAGATAAAACAACTTAGCGATGACATCGTTAAGTTGGAGAATTGGTCAAAGAGCGTAAGATACAATGCCGATGATAGAGAACTAGATATGGGCAAACTTATGTAAGTATTTCATACCCAGTCATTTGAAACCTGACCTGACTGGTGGCAGGTCAATATTGTGTGAAGATCCCAATAGGGCAACACCTGCAAAGCCGGGCCCACATGATATGTCTATATCGTCTTTAATCTCCACGTTGCTTCCGTTTTCTACGAAGTGTTCTCCAATAACTTCAGAAGAGCATCCCCCGCTGAATCCTTTTGCTCTCAATAAACTTTCTCAAGCTGAGCCATATCTAACAATATTCGCCCCATTGAAACTCGAATCATATTCAAATACTTACTGCGGCTCGGACCCAGACAAGCATTTGGAGAAACATACCTTGGAACTGTCTACACCGTGGCCCTTTCCTTCTAGACACCTCCACTTATCCGTCAACTACGAAACGGATCCAGAAACGCAGTCTGTACTCTCCATATCGGTACCAATGGCTATTGACAATAAAGTACCAGTATCTTTGCACCAGTGGATCGAATCAAGGCTAGCGAACCCACTCTTGAAGTTGGATGTATCGGGTCTATGCTGGGGCATACATCGCTACTGGGAAGCCTCGATATCACGTGCCAAACTATGGTCGCGGCTAGAAGGCCAATATCGAGGACTGATCAGACGTCGTGGGACAACCATCGATACTGATACACTAGGTGACTCCCTAGACCCCGATGTGCCCAGTCTCTCGAATATAAACCTACGGAAAATACTACCACACCTTGAGCGTACATCTATGCTATTCGAATCCGGAGGTGCAGAATCTTTACGAGCCTACTTTTCATGCGAACTAACAATCGATGAATGGGCAGGCGAACCCAGGTTGGTGCCGGGGATCAGTGTGTCTGCACCGTCCATGATGAATGGCAGGTCGGAAAGCAAGGTGGAACAAGATGTCAAAAGACTATTTCACACAATTTTGAGCGAGAAACAGAGCGGACGAATAGGCGCAGACGTTGATATCAATGCAGATGCGATAGTACATGCTGTCGAGCATATTCTGGGTGTCTTATTCTTTGATGAGCCTGAAAAACATGCTTTCAAAGTTAAGGCAAAAAGGTGACTGCATGTCATTGAAACTGGCTTGGATTGGTTTTCGAATCTACTAGCTGATCTGACAACTTGTTGATCTAAAAGAGAGAGCGTCTGCCACTCTGTAAATCAACAGATGGATCGTGTCTTGGACACATTTCCAGCCTCTACCGAACCCAAGAACAAACTTACATTGACTACGAAAACAGAGGTTTACGCAGGTTGTAATCCAGTGTATATAGATTCATCTCCGTTATTGAACTAGCTTACCGCGGCCTGCATCGGGTTGCCCTTCCATAGTATCTTATGTGTTCTCTGCCTCCAAACGAGGACTAGGCCACCGGTGTGATGCAACAAATAATCGCGAAGGATGTCGCTTGATATGAACCCAGCGACCACATTCTGATGGACCAAGATGCAGCGTCTTAGCATACATTCATAACTCGGAGTAGACCCATTTTTTTGGAACGTGAAAATTGGGGCATTTGCATTTCGGAAGGTTCGGAGTTTTTTAAGGACAAAGGTAAATTGAGAAAAGGGGCGCCACGCCATGCCACAGTACACTAATCCCCGACTTGAAAATAGACCCGATCATCATTAACTGTGAATCACATTTATTTCTTGGCGGCAGATTCCTCCTCGGCCTTGGCCCTAGCACGCTTCTCACGGATACCCTTGTAGCGGGCCTCACTGCGGGCGTCACGCAAACGGCGGTAGGCAGCCTCCTCACCCTTGGGCAGATCATCACGCTTGATCTCAGTGACAGCCTCCTCGGCAGAAAGGTTCTTGATGGGAAGGGTAGCGTTGGCGCGAGTGGCATAGCCCTCAGTCTTGCCCTCAGCGGCGAATGCAGCCTTGGCAGCGTTGACCTCTTCAGCAGAAGAGTCAAGCTTCTTGAACTGGCCACTCTTGCGGGGGAAGAGGATCAAGCGGGCCTTGTAGTCCTTGAGGCGATCGACATTGGCGACCAGCGACTCCTTGGAGTAGTTGACACGGCGGTGGTCAACAGCGATACCGATGGTAGAAGCGAGCTTCTTGGGGATTCCGGCTTCCTATATATTTTTGAAGCAAGTCCCATGTAAGCTTCCATCTAACTTCGAAGCCCAGCAAGTAGAACAGCACCATCACCAGGGCCCCGCTCCATATCCAAAGGGGACAAATTTACCTTCAGCTCAGCGAGAGTGAATCCACGACCGGCACGGACACGGCGGTTGTACTTGACGGTAGGGCAACGCACAACGGGACGCAGCTTGTCAACCGGACGAGGAGCAACAGCGGCGGCCTTCGCAAGACGGGCCTCACGACGGCGGTGCTTGCGGCCAGGCTATAAAATGGTAAATAGTTAGTCAACCATATATCATCCGCCAGACGACCGACACAAGTTGTTCAAAGTGTGATCTAGGTAAGTATAGTTTCGATTGCGTACCTGGTCGAAGTGCACGCGCACACGACGCTGCCAGTCCTTGCGGAAGTCTATAATAAACTCGTCAGTTCGCTGTTTCACAGTGCAGAAAATTCCATCCCCTCTCCTCATATGCGGAAAACTCGTTTACTCAGGTTCACTTACGCTGGTTGAGAATCTGGTTGTTGTGCTTGATCGCCTATACCACCAAAATTCATCAGTAACTTTGCCTTTCCCCATGAAAAAAGCGGACTCGATATCATTTTGTTGAGTCGCAGAAACATTTAAAACAGCGAGGGTCAGAAAAACGCACCATTGTGACGGACGGTGATCAAGGCCGAGATTGTCGTCGTCGTCGTGGGTGGTTGCTGGTCGGATCTCAAAACGACTCTTCAATAATGGGTGGAACTTTTTTTGGTGTGGCCAACCGCGCAGAGCCGCGCCGGTCTCGCTTAGCGAGAAGCCCTACCCTGGTTACCAAATCTGGAAAGGGTCCCAGACCTTGTCACTTGATAACTCACTTCATCATTTGTAGCACTCAGGTCGTCTTTGAATTTGCACAGAGCTCTCAAGTAGTTACCTAAATCATTTCCTGTCCATATAAGTGTTTTGGCTTTAGCTAGATGCCGGGGTCCTCCCTAAACATGCAATCTAGCCAATCTACCTAGATGAACGAACATCTAACTACAGTTCCCGTTACATGCTTACTAAGGCAGTACGTATCTGTTTCTTTGACATCTATCCGCGTTCTATCTGCTTTTTATGTACCGAGATAGATAGAAGGAAAAAAGAAGAAAGAACAGAGGGAGAGGGAGAGGGAGAGAGAGAAACCATATTTGACGAGCAAGAGGGGGTACTTCATGAACCTGTTCCTCTACTTGTTTCATATTGAGAGATCAAACTAAATCTTATCTAGGTACCTAGCTAGAGATATTCTCGAAGATTACAAAGCCTAGTAATTAATAAGAATCGCTCTTGAATTCAACAATGAAATACAAGAAATAAAAAGGAAGACGACAAAGGCACCGTAGTAACACCGATCCACCTCATCATTTACATGTCATCATTCGTAACTGTCCCTGAGGGGGAACATACAGGACATTAAAAATCGTCTGGATAATGAAAGGATGTTTCAAATCAAGAAGATCCGCAATCCACCCGAGGTAGTAAGACCGCGACATGCTCAAATATGTGCAATTAGGAAATACAGCCAGATGCACAAGCAGACTTTATGGCCGGCTGTTATTGTTCCATGTGTCAATACCGAGACCCACTCGTTCCTCCGCTTTTGATTTCTTCGAGGCCACACTGTCAAAACTCGCCTTGCGTTTGAGACTGACGGAGGACTGCACGACTCCTGCTTTTCTAACCTGACCGAACAGTGTTGTTTGAAGCAAAGTGCTCGATTTAGGGGCATTTGCCACTCTTGCAGCATTCTGATGGTCTGAACGACTATGGCGAAACAAATTTGTTGCCACTGAACCAGTGTGAGAAGGAGCGTCGTCTTCAGTTTCGGCTCCCTCGGTGTCGGATGCTGATATGGTGCTGTCCCTATCCCGACGCTGGTGCTGAGAATCTTTGTTTGGAGTGAAGTATTGACTCTCCAGCTGAGCTACCCGAGAGCGAGACGGCGTCGTAGGAATAGAAGACAGTGAATGTGCACTACGCATATGGTGGTTTCCAAACTGTTGCTGTGCGCCATTCTGATTTGATGTGGAGACTGCACTTGGAGATTCTCTGTTGAGAACACGATCCGCAGCCAGAAGAGCAGCGAAAGGATTATGGTTTTCATCCCTGGTCATATGGTGGCTATTGTCGGCGAAGTGAGGAACAGCCTTTCTATGAGGAGTCTGGATCTCATTTTGTGGACTTGGAGACAATGAACCATGCTCGATCATCAAGGAAAGATGCTTTCGGTTATCTCTGATACGGCCTTTCAACAAAGAATTTTCTTCACCGAGTCGATCGGACTTCACTTTCTCCTGGTCGATAAGCTTCTTCGCTCGGCGAAGTCGCCGGTCAAGAGTAGCATTGACCCTCTCCAGCTCTTGATAACGTTTGAGAGCAAGTTCTAATTCAACATTGGCAATTTGTTGTGGCGGTTTAGTTTCCGAATGACGACGGCGATATTCAGAGCTCTGGAGAATCTCGACTTCCCTTCTAGCCAATTTATGTTCAACCTCGGCGCGCTTGATGGCCTCATTGCTTGTGAATGATAGTAGGCTATTCTGTAACTTGAAGTGCAGCGCTGACATGCGAGCCTCTTGAGCCACGCCCAGTAGCTCCTTGGCGATTGCACGGAGTTTGGATTCGTCGGCAGTATCGATTTCATCAGTAGTGGGGAGGTTCTCAGAAGCTCCATAAGCGACACACAGAGTCTTCTCAATATCGGGTGGAGATGCAAGGTATGAACTAGATCGAGACCGTGATTGTCGAAGAGGGGCTCCAGGGATCTGCGACGATGGGGGAGGAGTCATATCTGATGATGGTAGTGACGGAGGGGAAAAGAACCTTCCTCTGTCAGAGCGCGACGTGTGGCTTTCGGCTCTTATACTTATATCTGGGGAAGCAGAGAGACTTGCACGTCGAGTGGGACTAACTGGACCAGAGATCTCTGCTGGAGGCGCAAGAGAACACTGTGATAGCTGAAGCTTGGGGTCTCGTGGCATGATAGGAACAACGGTAAGAGTAAGTAAAACTGTTGAAATATATTCTCGCCCTGCTTCTTAGTTAGCAATGGCCGGGTTGATAAATTGTATGGGACCCCTGTAGGGCGGTCAAGCGCATACCAGGAACGAGGTAACGTATTCCGTGTGTACGTCAATAAAATTGAATTGAGGAATACTTGCTTCCAGCTGGGCTGGTACAGGCCTTGTAAATAATAATAGACGCTAAAGTTTCCGGGAAATCGGGTGCACTTGGGTATGGATGTGTTTGTCGCACAGACACTACTATGCGACTCGCACCTGGCTCGGTCCGCTTATCAGTGATAGGGCAGTGCAGACACGTTCGAGTCAAGTAGTAGGATACAAATGAATTATTTGAAACAGGTACTCAGTTTAGAGGAACAGAAATACAAGATATGGAAAACCCCGTACCAATATGACAGGAGTAAGGAACAAGACAGAATGTGAATAAAGCAACAGTAAAGCGACGGATAGATGTGATGCAAGGAGCAAGGAGCACTGTGGAGGGTTTGATGCCTTAAGGATGTTGCAAGCGGCGGGTGTTTCGCACATCGGGAGGCTGGGAAGTCGCTTGCGATGGCTCTGCTCCAACCAATTATATCTGAAGTTTTACATGCACGTGAGCCCAGCCGCGCGCTAAAACTTACCATTCCAGATGCAGTTAGAGTGGAGATCATGCACTTCAGGCAAGTAAACAGAAGTTGTACCCCATGGGTCCAGAAGGTTGTAACTGAGGCAACGGGCTGCCGATAGGCCATCAATACGGAGTAGTGACTTGTGTCTGGACTAGTACTAGGTACGCCGCGTACTTTGTGATTCCAGTTGTATAAGCTACTGTATGCAAACAAATAGCCCGTGTTCAATATTCAAGACATTGCGAACCCCAATCAACACATATTTAATATTATTTTACCGTGTATGTAGTGACCTATGCTCTCCCCACTTGTTATAGATTTTTATAAGCCTATACAAACTTGATAATTACTGAAAATACTCCAGGCTATCCCCCCCGTAAAGCGTAACAAGAATGAACTTAAGTAGTGTTCCAGATGAGCCTTTTTCTGAACGAAGACTATAGGAAGCAAGAAACTTTTCGCTTCTCTTCTTCCTTCCCCCGCCTCCTTTTGCCCTTCATTTTTCTCCTTTAAAAGGCCTTAACTATGAAACCCAATCAATTCAAAGCGGGCCCGGTGTTTATCTGTGGAAGGATATTAAAATTGTGGATCAGTATGCATGAGAAGGCAGTGCTCATAGAATGAGAAATCAATTACACTTGGTCAGTCAACTGCATCTGTGAGGCTTTAGGTCATTGTAATACTGTGTAGTCGCAGCATGGGTCTTTCTGCGGAGGTTGACATTTGTCCGCCTATGTAGTCATGGTACGAAGCACTTTGTACACAGTATATGGTCGTCATGAATTGAGGGCCATCATCTATGGTTCGGTTTTAACATTCAATTTGCTGACAGAAACCTAATATAGACGTGGCCAGTCAGAGAACACGGGATCCTGTGTAAAGCCCACTTTCTACGTAACCATAAGTAGGCCAGTATACCCGATTGTGGTAAGGAGTATCGGTAGGTTGGTGATACATTGCGTGGGTATACTGTAAGAGGTCTGCAAACACCAGCAGTGGCTTATTTTCACTTTCGAAAGACATGCAAATATCTTGCCTCAAGCGCACCTCTGGTACTCGTCTAAATTTGGTTCATAGTACTCCGCACCTGGTAGCCCTGGTTGTTTCTGAAACAGGAGACTCTAACAGCTTCCAAGATTCGCTCCATTCGTGGGCGGGATGCCGAAGGAGAAATCTCACCAATCACAGGCCTTGGCTAGGCTATATCGATCGTGGCCCCAGGCACCAACTACGTCGTAAACAATGGTTATAATTTTAATCATATAATCTATCACATAGGTAATTAATAGGAGTTACCCTAAAAAAGACACGTTGCGCTGAGTATTACTTTGTGTTCTGTCCACTTAACGTTTTCACCTCTACCCATTACATCTATTAACATGTGTGTCAGCTGAGAATTTCTGCTGTCTTGTCTTTTCCTCCAAGTACCTGACCCACACAAAAAAACATCATGAGACTCCTTTTCCGCTCTTGAAACCATTACTATCCAATTGCAGAAACGTGCTTTATGCTTATAAACAACCTAAAAATAGTACTTCTGTGATGTGAACATGGATAAACAACAGAAATTATCGGCCCGACCGAGTGGGATTCCTCGATTAGCCTCCAGACTACCGCTCCCGACATCAACCGTTTCGAAATCGATCAAGCCCTCCCCATCTCGCGAAAAGCTACGGACAGATACTGGAGTCGATGCAGCTAGGCTTCGAAGACCTTCAGAGGAAATATTGTTCAAAAAGCCGCTACCAAAATACTCGGTGCCAAAAAAGCCTCACAATGGCCTGCCACAAAGGAGGGATGTCTCTCATAGCAGAATGAGCGATGGTGGAAAGTCGGAAATAGATAGTGTAATGGATGGATCTTTCAAGCGTGGGACGGATGCATCAGTTGACGATGCAGATACTAGAGGCCGTACGCGGCCTTCACTATCAGAACGAACAATTGAGACACTATCGCAAATCCCTCCTTCACCGGGTTCTTCAAGGCATTCTAGTTTCTTTAATGGGTCCAGCCCCATGCGCTCTCCATCCCGCCCGGCTTCTGCGCTGTCAAGCTGTTCGAGGTCACCTTCCAGGTCATCGTCGTCGCGTCAACAAAACGGCGGCGACTTCTTGTCTCGCCCATCATCTGCAATGCGGCTCCCATCAAGGTCACGCCAGTCACTATATGTGGGCGGCACATCGGCCGAGCTATACAACGTGACGACTTCAGATAATGTTTCCAAATTGAAGCAACCTTCTTCGAGGACAAGCACCTATAGAGATACGACGCATACCCTATCAAATCCCCGTGGAAGCTCAGGTCCTACCTCTATACAGATTCATGATGCGAATCTTACACAGGGAGCACTCCACGTGAAGAAAACGAGGAAGACACCGACAAAAGTACATCAGAATTCAAGGGCGCCTATAACACCGTCAAGATCACCTTCCACTAAGGCCACGACCGTTGACTTAACGCTTGAGAAGCAATCTGAGATGGAGACCAGAAAAACTTCAAGGTCGTCTACCGCACTAAGGGAAACCATTGCAAAGGCAAAAGCTGCACGGAAAGCAGCGATGCAGAGCAATGATAATTCCCAACCCTCACCCTTGGATAATCTAGGTGTTGAAGATCCATTCAATCAGCGACCAAAGGATCTGAACCAAGGGCTCCTTCGAAAACGTCTCGAAGCAGGTCGGACCTCAGGTCATTTGAATATTGCGGCCATGTCCTTGGCAGCATTACCAGAGGAAGTCATGACCATGTATGATTTCGACCCTGACTCAGTCACAGAGTGGTATGAGAGTGTAGACATTGTCAAGTTCATTGCTGCAGATAACGAATTCGTCGAACTTCCGGATTCCGCTTTCCCAGACATCGATGCAGAGGATCAAGATGCGGATGAGAGGGGAAACCAGTTTGGTGGGCTGGAAATCCTCGACTTACACGGGAACTTATTGCGCTCATTGCCAATTGGTTTCAGGCGACTACAGCGTCTTCATACCCTCAACCTCTCAAACAACAAGCTAAACTTGGAAGACATACAGATCATCATGGAAATGGGATCTGTAAAGGACCTCAGGCTAGCGAACAATCAACTGCAGGGATCATTCCCTGCTGATATAAAGAACCTGAGCAGCCTGGAAGTTCTTGATCTTCATAGCAACTCTCTCACAGAGCTACCGAATGAAATTTCGTACCTGACTTCCCTACGAGTTTTGAACGTGGGTGATAATCATCTGTCCACTTTGCCTTTCGAGGGCCTAGGCAAGCTTTCATTGAAAGAGCTCAGTGCTCCCAACAATCGTCTAAAGGGTACTTTGTTACCTGCTTCTGTACAGGCGCTTATGACCTTACAATCTCTGAACATAACCGGCAACGCCCTAACAAAGCTTTCTGACCATGATACATTTGGATTCCCCAATCTACACACTCTAGCGATCAGTATGAACCGCATCCAGTGTTTGCCAGATGTTTCTTCTTGGCGTGCGCTCCTGAGTTTGTCAGCAGAGGATAATAGCATAGCAGACCTACCACGAGGATTCGTTGAGTTGAATGCAATTCGAAATGTTGACTTGACGGGGAACAATATCTCAAAACTGGACGAAAGAATTGGGTTGATGGAAAGCCTTGTCACATTTCGAATTTCGAACAACCCTCTTAAGGAGCGAAAATATCTGAATATGTCTACTGAGGACCTAAAGCGTGAGCTTCGAAACCGGTGCGAGCCAGAGCTACAAGATACGGATGACGAAGAGGGCTCGGTCGCAACCCAGTTCACGCTCGCACCTGAGGCTCCAGCTCAACCAGGCGTTTGGCAAGTCAAACCTGGGGGAGTCATCGACAGATCGTACGCTGGTCTTCAAGAGCTGGATATGGATAACCTGGAACGTATAAACCCGCATGAGGTAAGATGTCTTTACTTGCAGCACAATGAATTACGCTGTATTCCGGTACCGACTCTCAGTATGCTCGCGCCTAATTTGACCGATCTTGATCTTTCACACAACCCACTGGATAGCACGTCGCTCTTAGCCACATCGCTGGCTTTACCCAGTCTCCAAACCCTCAATTTGAGTGCCACCGGCTTAACCACTCTTGAGACACTATTAGCCAATCTTCGAGCCCCTTCGCTCACTTTCCTAGATGTATCGAATAACCGCATTTGTGGGTCTCTTCCGCCGGTCCGTCAAACCTATCCAAGCCTGATGACATTCCTCGCTGCCGATAACCGCTTTGATAGCCTGGATTTTGATGCCATCCAAGGTCTTCAGGTTCTTGATATAGGCAACAACAATATCAATATTCTACCACCAAAGCTGGGCCTTTTAAGAGCCGAGGGTTGCAGTAAGAACTGGGGCAGTGGATCGGCGCTGAAGAGATTCGAGATCGCGGGTAATAGCTTCCGTGTCCCTCGCTGGCAAATTGTTGCCAAAGGAACAGATGCTATCCTCGAATGGCTAAAAGATCGGATACCCGCTGAAGATCTTTCTCAATGGGAGCCTAGTGATGAGTCGAGTACATAGGAAGTACATTGAATACCAATCAACAACCTAATGATAGCATCAATTCTGTCATCATCTTCATACTTGTATACATAGGGTAATTTCTATCTTCTTCCAGCAGAGAATCTTTTTTGCTCTACGGTTGCTGCGCAATGACAGGAATAGTCACCGAGGACATTTCGCGCGACACAAGTACAGCGTTCAAAATCGAAACATTATACACGCCACCAGACATGTTGACCAATAGTTTACATGGTAGTTTGTATATTCAGGCTTTCTAAGGAAAAGAGTATTCACTCTGACTTCGCTTCCTTGATGTCATCAAGAGGTTTACTTACCCCATCCATCACTTTCAACCATGTCTTCGACCAGTTAGTAAACTTATCCTCAGCTTTTTGCTGGCTGTTGACCACACTCTGTTCAGACAAAGGCAGAACCACTAACTTGACCGCTTCAACAGCATAGTCCTTTGTTCTTTTCAAGTACTGAATAGACCGTTCTAGATCCGCTTCATATAGTGCCCCCGCTACCTCGTCAACTTGCTCCGGAATACGGTGGAGGTTGACCATAAGGGATTCCAGGAGGTTAACAAGGGAAGGCAAGAATTCAGGAACCTTCTTCAGGCGATTCGTGATGATTGCGGGGTAAATCTGGACAACTGGTTTGAGCAGCCGAATAGCAGTCCTTTTCAATTCATGAAGCACAGCGGTGTCTTCGCCATCGCCGCTGTCCTCGGCTAATTCTGCCTCACTACCTTTTCCAATACTCTGTTTGCCGTCGTCGCTCAGAAGCTCATCGAAAAACTCGTCCCCTTCTTCATCAGGATCCCATTCGTCAATCTCTTCCACTGCGTCTCGCACCAGATCTCTCCATTCTTCCACGCGCCGAATTATAAACCCAACAACACCATTTGAAGCGAGGTCAATCAAGGCATCACAGGCACCCCAAACCCGTCCCGTAGCTACCGTAATAAGGTCTTTCTCAGACTGTGACAGTTCGATTCCCTTCTTCATCATGCGATCCTGTATTTCATCATTTCTCTCTGCGATTGACTGGACTTCTTTCACGAGCGATGACAGTTCGTTCAGCCCTGTCTTCGTCAGTGATAGAGCCTCGGCCTGGAATGCTTTGGTATGATCGGCCGGTGTAATGAGAAGAGCTGCTGTCACAAATGACGGGAGCACTGATCCGTTCAGGTTAGAGAGGACGGAGCCGACAGCGGAGGGTGTAAATGGAGAGGTGATGGCTAAAAGCGAAAGCTTGGTGACTTGTGACTTAAGGGCTGTCGACGATGCCGAAAGGAGGGGAAGTGCATCTCTGCTTGAGAGTTCTGCGGAGGTTGAATCTCCAGAGGGTGACGACAAGGTCAAGTGGAATTGCTCCACGAGGGTAAGGGTAGTTGTAAGGGTGACGTGGAGCTTTGTTGACATTTTGACCGGACTCTACTCGGATACGTGTTTTGGTTGGGCTCGAGCAGCTCATAAGACAAGTTTGGGAGAAATTTGGGATTACAGAACTGCGGGGCCTTTTTTTTAGGGCTCTGCGGGGTCACCTGCGGCTGACCTTGGTAATGGATATCTTTTGTACGGAGTACTCCGTACTGTACATCCTTACATACAGCTTCGCTGGTCTGTAGTTGTGGAATTTTGTCCACTACAACTTTATATGTCCTACATATATTTGAATACCATTTTGACAAAAAAATTTTATGAATGCCCGGACATTTGTATATAAACTTACTAATAGATACATCATCTTAGTTAGTAGATATATCTATGTCTGTCGCCAACAGGCAAATGGAAATAGCTAATAGACCATCGCGAGCATTCCTAACTGTATGGATTAACATCAACTCTATGTAGAGGTTTCCAATTGTTCTATCCAACAAACAATAGCTTTCCTGGGGTGAGCTAAAACCTCATACCGGGCAATCATACGGAATCACCTGGGGTGGGAGCTTCATGCTTACCATCTCCGAGTATATTCTTGACGCACCTAGCAGTGACAATTGAAGACCAGTCTATGGTCATTCCAAGGCACGCAGGGCAAACGGTACAAGCGTTGCAATATATATGCTCAGGAGGTTTGAATTGAGCCCTAAGGCTGAGCCCTATATTTCCTAATTCATGAAGCTGACCGCTCGGAATCTCCGGTCCCCGTCGACGGGCAGAATGCTCTGGATCATTTCCATCTCCAACTACTTCAAGACCACTAAGCTTTGCTTCGAACGTTTAGTGGTCTAATGCGGGCTTGAATACCTACATATCTAGATACTATACAATTTATATCCCAAACCATGGGAACCACCAAACCGCGCCCTTCTGGAAAAGCTTCCATCGCAAAGGCCCAAGCTTTACCCGAGAGGACTTTCATAATCGATAATGGCGCGTATACGATGAAAGCCGGCTATGCGCCCGACTCTATTACGGAAGATGAAATAGAGGCACTGTCCGTTTGCTCTGTTATTCCTAATGCGCTCGCCAAGACTCGCGATAACCGTGTCTACGTCGGTTCGCAACTTAATACTCATGTTACGGATTGGAATGAGTTGATGTTTCGACGGCCGGTGGAGAAGGGATATACTGTAAACTGGGAAGTGCAAAAGGAGATCTGGGAGCATTCACTTTTTGACGAGAAGACTGTGCGAAGCAAAGACCTGCGGATTGCTAAACCGGAAGAAACGACGCTTGTACTGACCGAAGCTCCAAACGCTTTACCGGTGCTGGAGAAGAACGCAGACGAGATTGTAATGGAGGAGTGGGGGTTTGGTGGCTATTTAAGAACTATGGGTACGGTTATGACTAGCACTGTTATACTGCTGCTTGGTTATCTGGCTAATATTGTCATGTTAGGCCCGTCGCTAAACGCCTGGAACGAAGTCCAATCCTTATTCGGAGACCCCATCGTGCAGAAGTACGACTCGGCTCTTTCACCAAGAGAATGCCTCCTTGTGGTCGATTCAGGCTATTCTCACACGACGGTTACACCACTGTACAAAGGCCAACCTCTTCAGCGTGCCATTCGCAGGCTTGATATTGGAGGCAAACACCTTACGAACTATTTGAAGGAGATGGTATCAATGAGGCAATACAATATGGTGGATGAAGCATATATCATCAATGAAGTGAAGGAAGCAGTGTGCTATGTCAGTGATGACTTTTCCCGGGATATGGAAAGGACTTGGAAAGGCAACCGAAAGCGTGGTCAACTCGATCCTGATGAAGGTGTCACGGTCGACTATGTCCTGCCAGACCCAAATGGCAGCAAAAAGGGATTTATGCGACCTCACGATCCTCTATTGAATGCCAAGAAAAGGAAAAGTGCACTCTCAGGTGCTGCCGCTGAGGCATTATCTGAGGATGTCCTGGTCCTGAGTAACGAGCGTTTCACAGTCCCTGAGATTATATTCAGCCCAAGTGACATCGGTATGAAGCAGGCTGGCATTACTGATATGATTCTCCAGAGCCTTTCTGTGCTACCAACGGGGTTACATCCTGCCTTCTTGGCAAACGTGCTAGTTGTTGGAGGAAACTCCTTGATTGCTGGATTTATGGAAAGACTGTGAGACATCTTCTCATCCAGTTTCCGCTTTCATACATTGCTAATTCGCCGTAGGGAGAAGGAGCTGCGTGAAGTCGCTTCGGCAGAATGTGCTGTGAGGGTTCGACGGCCTCAGGAGTAAGTTTGCTATTACAGCGTAGATCTTAACTGTGCACTGACGGCTTCTGGAAACAGTCCAATTCGTTCCACCTGGCTTGGGGCAAGTCGATTAGCCACCAATAGAGAAGAAATGAAGAAGGTTGCTATTACTCGTCAGGAATATCAGGAGAATGGCTCTGCTTGGGCTGGGAGGAAATTTGCTGGCACTGTATGAAATCGGGTGCATTATTTCGTGGTGTTCAGGGTTGGGATCTTTGGAGTACATTGCGTTCAACTGAATTTGGCACAAGTTGGCGACTTGGCTTGGTGGCCTGTTTAAATAGCATTTGCTAGTGATACCCTTGGATTTGAACATGCTTCTGTTTCTAATTCCTAGAGATGATGACCGCCAGCCGCTGTATGACCCTAAGATGTGCCTTTTTCTCTGACATTAAGAGCTTTGAGGTTGGTATTGAGCTAAGTTACGATAGTTGATATGGTTTATTTGCTCCGCCATTTTTGAATGATTCGATACAATTTCCTTCACTGGGAGGAGATGTTGCGGCGAGGCCGGAGTCGCAACGGGATTTCTATTCAGTGATGGGGGCTTCTGATTGACCGACACATGCAACAATTTATGGTGTATAAAGAAGTGGGTAGAGAGTTTTTCTTTTCTCTCTTAATTTGTGTTCTTTTCGCAGCCCCTCAACCCAACCAACTGTCCACGTCAGTAAGGCGCTACCCAGCCAGAGTACTTGGCAAACCAACCCGTCACAATCCAGCTGATTTTCTCGATGCCTACAAACAAATACGGATTAGAGGTCAAACCTTGTATTATGCTTTTTTTTATTTTCCGTACTTGTATGGACCATAGCGGCATTGTTAGTATCGTAGAGTCAAAGGCCCCCATCTACGTGGAAAACCAGTGGTAGATTGATTACTTCAAGAATGGTTGGTTATCGTAGCATGCGACGATCATAATCGGGTAATGGGGCTTGGACATGTGGCACGCGAGTGGCCTATCCATGGCATAGTCGCCGAAGTGGTGATGATATATCCACACCTGACTCACCGTTAGCATGCTATACCGACTTTCCTATATAGTTGACCTCTCGCCTGACGAGATAATGAGCCAAACCATACCTTTACACTCTACCAACAATTAGAATCTGACCTAGTTTCGTCCACTTTAATATTATGACTTTCATCTCTTAGCTTTGCACGCGCAGTATCTCCGAGTGTCCTCAACTATCAGATAGGAACTATGGCGTCAAGTTCCCTAACAATCTCCCAGAGAGTCAACCTGTCGATTCACCCCTTCAACGAGCTGGCAAATCTTCAGAACTAGGTGGCTAAAGCGAAGCTTCCCAAACCCTATTAGCATAAAACACCTCTGCTCTCAAAGTCTAAGATGTTCCTGTGTAATCTGTCCGCCGCGACCTCGCGTGCTATCGAGGAACACAGCCGAGGCAAACATCCTTCGACTCAGGCTAAGGGGGTTGCAAGATTGTTGAGAAGCCATTTGAATGAGAAGCCTCCATTGGTAAACTCTAAATCTGTACACCTTCATCAAGCTAGTGACTGTTCAAGCATGGGGTGCCATCCACGGATCGAAAGGGGGAGGGCGGGGTCGAGGAGGAGCCGAATTGCAGCGAGAATTGAGAAATGCCGATTCATTCAGCGCTTTTTCAGAAGGATGCCACATAAGGAGTGAGCTCTTACTGACGTACAAATCGGCCTGGCAGTGTAAGCTGATGACACTTAGGTCCTGCGTGAGCTGCCTCGAGAACATGCCAGCTGATGACTTGGTGAACTTGCCTTGTCAGCATAAGTATTGCAACACGTGTATCAGGAAAATGGCGGCCATAAGTATGGCAGACGAGCAATTATTCCCACCGAGATGTTGTTCCCGGAAGATTCCGTCAGAGACTATCCTTCCTTTACTGCCACTAAAGGAAAGAGAGTCATTTGTCTCTAAAACAATCGAGTATGCAACCCCGGTTCAAGATCGCTGGTACTGTCCTGCACCAACCTGCGGGAGATGGATACCTCCAACGGCTGTGAAGGCTGGGAAATCTCAGACACAGACCTGTCCGCATTGTAGAAGGAGAATTTGCTCAGGGTGTCGCGGCATTTCCCACAAGTCAGGAGATTGCTCTTCTGATACAGGTCTGTCCGCAGTCCTTGAAGTGGCTCGGAAGCAGCGATGGCAGAGGTGTTTCAATTGTGGTGCGGTGGTGGAACTCATATTCGGCTGTGATCACATTATATGCAGATGCAGCGCACAGTTCTGGTAAGGCGAGCTCTGTGTATAATTTTGATCTGACCCATGCTGACGATGCTCAGCTACAAATGTGGTAACCCATGGTCTTCGTGTGTTTGTGTCACACCTGCAGAGAGACCTGTAGATTTTTTCACATTCGTGATTGATGGCAATATGCTAAACCGAGACGAAGAAGCCGGACTTACAGCAGTTCTTGCTGCCATGCTATGTCATGATAGAGAATCGGAAGAGCCCCTAATTGACAAGGGGAGGAAGGGAACCCAAGGTTGCCAGGCGGAAGGTTGTTTGGTTCGGGATGGGAATATCGCCAAAGTTGACCTAGGGATCTAAGGGTACCACTATAGACCGCCCCCCAGGAAAGTTTTATATCATACTGGAATCACCAAATCCACATAACACCGTTTACTCCGATAGGTGCAATTGTAAGCTTATGACTGTTGATAGAGCTCAAGTAATCTATTTTTATAGCAGTGTAACAGGGATATCAAGGCATAACTAGTGAGTAAGGATCAAACACTTAATCAGTATTCGTAGAAGCCCTTTCCAGTTTTCTTGCCCATCCAACCGGCATCGACCATTCTCTTCAAAAGTCCGGATGGCCGGTATTTGCTGTCTCCTGTCTCCTGATGCAAAACGTTCATGATAGCCAAGCAGGTATCAAGCCCAATGAAATCGGCCAAAGTCAAAGGTCCCATAGGAACGTTAGTTCCATTCTTCATTATATTGTCAATATCTTCGCGGGAACCGACTCCAGTCTCAAGACAGATGACTGCCTCGTTAATGTAGGGCATAAGTATACGGTTAGCAAGGAAACCAGGTGAGTCAGCGGAGACAGAAGCAATCTTGCCCATGCGCTGCACGAAAGCGATAGCAGTCTCGATCGTCTCCTTAGACGTTTGCAAACCAGAAATAATCTCAACTCCCTTCTGTACGGGAACTGGGTTCATGAAGTGCGTCGAGATCACTCGAGACGGAGCTTGAAGGTCTGTTGGATTGGTAGTCGTCGCAGCAGCAATCTTAGTGATTGAGATTGACGAGGTGTTAGTCGCAAGAATGGCATGCTTGGGTGCAATTTGAGCAAGCTTTTTAAAAATCGAGCTTTTGAGATCGGGTATTTCAGGAACAGCCTCGATAACAAAGTCCACGGAAGAAAGGTCGTCCATACTCAGGCTAGTTGTGATGCGAGAGCGGACGGTATCGGCTACCTCTCGGGTAATACGTTCTTTGGAAACATCCTTATCAAGGAGTTTATCTATAAATAGTAATTTAATTAGTCTAGAAAATGATGTAGAATGACAATTCCAATGACGAGAGGAGCGTATCGGTGGTGAGCGTAGCCCCATACATACCGGCGAATTTGAGGCCCTTATCAAGAGATGTTTGGGAGTTGTCAACCAAGGTAACAGGAACTTGAGCCTTCTGTGCAGCAACAAGAGCGATCCCCAAGCCCTATTACCTATTAGATAAGCTGGAAGACATTGTAGTGTAACTTGATGTCCTACGTACCATTTGGCCAGCTCCAATTACTCCCAATGATTTAACCTCGGCAACATAAGCCGCAGAGGAACTGCTGAATGCGCGGGAGGCAATTGAAGGGCCGTTGCGGCAGAGAGACCGAAGGGACGATGACAGCATTGTTGCAATACTGAAAGAACTGATCCCGTTAGCAAGGAATAGTGACGCTGGGAAGAAAGACGAACAAGCCGAGGACAACAACGGCGACGATTGATTGTTATACTCTATTTGAATCGCATCCGACATCCTTCCGCGGGACTCATGTGATCCAACGTCATCGGTTATCTTCGGCAGTCGGGAACATCCATTCCTCCGATATCCGAAGACCTGAGACGCGAAAACGCGTGAACCGACGCGTTACCATTGGTCCCTGCAGGGAGCCAGTTTCCGTTCATTATCAACATCGGCAATGGTGATAGAAGGTGAAGGCGACGACCGCAAGCACAACTGGCCACCATGAACGACGAAGCTGTGGCTTTTGGCCAGGCTGTTCAAGTTGTAGACCCCGATGTCCGCGCACACGTTTATAGTCTAGTCACTGCGGTGAGGATAGCTGTTTGATTGAATACTTTAATCTTCGAAGAATTCTAATTAATTTACAGTTGGGTGGATTTAACGGCGAAGATGCGGACCGATACGTACTTGGAGACGATGCACTGGCTTGCTTGCGTGACATTAGGCGCTGGCTGAAATTGTACGACGAGAAGTATCACCGCATGGATGTTGCTAGGTGCCTTGGAGAAGCGAATTTGGTTAACGGGGACCTGCTACCGATTTTTTCGCTGTGGTGGAGCACTGGCCAAAAGAGTAAATATATGTCCAGGATCGCATTAGCGTGCTGTAAGTATAGGGCCTTATTGTGAGCCTAGACTTGTACTAATGACATGAAGTGGAATTGCTAGTTCCGTTGACCTGGCCATTGGAAGTCCACGGGGAGATGACTGTCAACCATCACCGACATTTTCCATACTTGCAGCACGCTCAAGTCTCTTATAAACGAGGTCTTCTGAGCCGTGGTAATCTCAATTTCCTTCGAACCATTATCCGAATTGGCCTTCCTAGCATGGCCGTTCCACGGCCTGAACGAACAGCACGGGACGATGGTATTCTCAAACTTATGCTCTATTTGCTACGAAATATCGTAGTGATCACCCCAAGTGCTCGTCTTGCAGCGGATGGTGATGAGGAGGAGACTTCTAGATCTGCGACTATCAATACCTTTCAAGCTCAAGACGTATTTGCTCTCATTCTTACCATGTGTTCCAACGTTGGCGATGACTTCAATATGCAAGATGTGGTTCTCCTCGAAATACTGTTCCACCTGGTGAAGGGTGTCAATGTTGAGAAGCTATTCATGGATGATGCCCAGCGAAGCGCAAAACACACAGACGAACTAGATACCTTGCTGAGGCAGGAGTCATCTATGCGGCGGGAGTACGCCAAAAATGCACCCACTCGACACGGACGATTCGGAACTATGATTTGGGTCAAACGTGACGATGCTAAGGTGTCTACTGTCTCAGGGCAAGACGTCCTCAAAGATAGCCAAGCAACGTTCCAGAAAATGGATGAAAGCAAGAAGTGGAACAAGCCCCAACCACGCAGAAAACATGAAGATTCACTTCTCAACAATGACTTTAGTACGCCGACCCATCTTAACTCCACAGCATCAAGAAACCTGCGGATGTTTGTTGAAGAATTTCTCGACTCTGGATTCAATCCTTTATTCACCCACGTCCGGAAGGCCTTGGAACGAGAAGCCGATCGTATCGTGCCTATCAATTCTCGTCAATTTTTCTATACCGTCGCCTGGTTTCTGGATGCCGAACGCGCACGCCGTGCGCGCCAAAAGGAGATGCAGTTACAGAATGAAAAGTCCATAAAAGATTTGGAACCGGATGGTTTTGGGCTTGTCGCTAGTGTACTTGATCAAGAAACTCTCGTATTCCTAAACCGATCTATGCAAAATAGTTTCGACCAAAAAGACTGGGAAGACCTACATGCGGAAATGCGCTGCTTCACGCAAATCTTGCTAACTGTGCAAGAAATGACACAGTCGCTCCTTGAGGAAGATCAGGAAATTGCTGAGAACATTCAGAATCGGATATCTACGAAGAAACAACTCATGACCGTGTGCTTGCTATTATGCGTGAGTATAAAGATCAAGGGTTTGGTTATCTGGATGCATGCACAGAACTTTCTCATGTTTTTTTGCGTATGCTGGATCGATATTCCAAGGAGAATGTCGACATGCAAGTGCGATCTCGGCGGCGAGCCAGACGCAAAAACAAAGAAACTCGAGTAGCAGCACCTGAAGATAACAACGAAGAGCATGTATCCGATGATGAAGACATCATGGAGGCCGAACGAATTTGTAGGGAGCGTAAGTTCGACTTCAAGCGCTTTGCTGCCAAGTTTTGCAACCAAAAGTGTGTCGACACCTTTGTTGCTTTCACGAAGTTCTTTAGGGAACTTAACTTGGACCAATTAAAACGTGCCCATCGCTATTTCTATAGGGTCGCCTTCAAACAAGAAATGAGCGTCCTGTTATTCCGCATTGATATACTCAACCTTTTCTACACAATGATTAAAGGACCTGGCGCCATGGATTCAAGTAAACCAATCTTCAAGGAGTGGGAAGAGCTAATCCGACAAGTCATCAGACGAATGATAAAGAAGATCGACCAGCGTCCCGCCCTTATTACTGAGTTGCTCTTTAGCAAAATAAACTCGACACTATTCTACCTAGAATATGGTCATGAGAGACAAACCCTACCCCCGGTGAGAAAGGCACCAGCTGAGCTTGAAGTCAATCCCAGTGAAGCAACGACGCAAGTGGAAAAGATAAACATTGTAGTCGGTGCACTGGTCATGGATGAGCAAACCGATTTGGTCGCGTGGGTTAGCAGTGTTTTAGGCACGGCAGCGGAAGAAAGAGAGTCATGGGAGGCCCATGATGAGGCTCAGAAGGCACCAAGGCCCCTAATCCGATGATTGGTATGTAAACCAGACCTGTTATTGATGCTTAATATTCTAACCTAGACAAGCTGTCCAACCTCGCGACGATGCATGTAAACAGGCGATGTACTTCAACGCCAGGCTGCGTCTTCTCATGACTGTAGTGGGATTTGAGCGACTGGGAATGGAAGATGTTGTCGGAGCGTCCTGGATTGTGCCGTCGTCACAAGGGTCAAAAGATCTCCGAGATATTAAATCGACGATCGATAAATGTCTTGAGGATCCATACACGGGAGACATTGAGCATGATCCTCGGCAGATGCTTCGGCGCAGATACCAACCCGATAATAAGGAGCACAATCGCCAAACTACATTTAATGTTGACTTTGGATCTGAATCAGAAGGTGAAGATGTCCCGGATGGGCCTCTTTTCCCACCAAACCCTCCGTCGAAAGCGAACGCGCTCAATGAATTAAAAAAGCGTCGCAAGAATCGCGAAGAAGTTGATGAGCGCGAGCTGATAGACGAAGATACTCTGGAAGCGCGTCGCAAGGCGCGCCAGGAGAACACAAGAGCCCGTCTAGCCAAGATCAAAAGTGAACTGTTCGTTCATGCCAGTGATGACGAATCCGACGAGGAGGCCGACAAAGAATTCTTTGATCTCGAGGAGAAAAGGCGAAAAGAACAAGCTGCGCGAGTCAGAAAGGCATTGCTTACTGGCGTTGTAGACGAGATCGGCCGTAAAGCGAACAATCAGAGCGAACGCAAACGACGAAGCAACCCTGGGAGTTCTGGCACGCAAAGTAAACGGCAACGGCGCGGCCAAACAACAGAAGCATTCGACGAAGATGATGACATTACTATGGGTGGTACTCTTGCTCGCTCGCCTGGCCATGCGACTGAAGACGACGAAGATGCTCCTGCCATGTCGGATGAAGACAATGAGTTTGATTTCGACGACAATCTAGCCTTCCGTCGAGATCTGGATCTAGACAAGGAGCCAGAATCACCTAGTCACAAGGAAGATATGCAACCAAGCGGTATACGTGAGCCAAGAGACAGTGACGAGAACGCCCCGGCGACTACCTTGGCTCGAAGGCGGTTGCGAGCGGGGTTTGTGATTGACAGCGATTCTGAATAAGCTCTCTTGATTTGACTCTAGTCCTTTGGGGTACTACAGCTATGTAATGACCTAATGATGCTCGGCATTTGTGGAGATAGCTCTGGGACAGAGTGGGGGATGTATATCGCATGCAAACTTGTGTTATTACATTACTACCGCGCAGACAAAGCAACCCTTTGTATGGATTATGAAAGTGGAGAAATGCATAAGTCGATGTTGATGACTATAAGAATACTTTCAGTGCCACGGCTTTCAAGGGCTAGCTATACCCAAGGGTCTCTCTCTCCACCTTCCAAGCCGCAGGAGAGCGAGAAAGAACAGAAAAGAACGATGACCCAACCACTCCTCTTGGTCACCCTCGACGTTTGGACCCTTCAAGCCTACTATCTAGGGCAATTCTCTGGGTGTTGCTTCCCTTCAGACGAACAAGAATCCGGTATCCCCATCTTAACTTAGAGAGGAAACCTACCCATCACACATAGGTTTAGTCTCCATGCACGCTGGGTAGGGTGACATACACACGACTGACGTATTCACCGCCGAGATAGAGATTCTCTTAGCAACGGAGTAGCTTCGTGGTTTCCGCATTACTCTCCGAGCGAAGATGACAAGAGCGTTCGCTGGCTCGTCGCAGATCTGACGAATTACCCATTTTGCGGCAGCCCGGAACAAATGATGCTGCTATGGTAGCTAGAATCGCGCATAATGTTTGGCTTCATATGACAAGGTTTCCGCTCCATGTACCGTTGCGGTTCCATCCGTCTGTAGGACAGCTTTTGCCACGGGGGGACTTCCAGCAAGCATTCTTCCCGACATCCCCTATTGGCAATGGGAGGAGCCGGGCGCTTGCTGAATTGCCTTCTCTCGGGGCTTTAGCTGTTGTGAAGACCTCGACCGGTGGCAATCCATACCTATTGACGGTACCTGTCTGGATGAAGGGTGGGAATCTGGCCACCTTCTGGCATACTTCTATGTACGGGATGTCAAGAATCCTCGCTACTATTATCATTCGCACAAGGACAGTCAAGACATACAATGTCCCGACAACTAAGAAAAGCTAAAAAGACAGGAGCTTATAAGCACAGATCTACATAGGTACTATCAGATGATCAAGAGACAAATGCATTCCATTCACTCTGGTTTATTGCTTTTTCCCGATGTCTTCTAACCCATGCCCTAGCAACCGCTTATACACAGAGTCATATTGCTTCTTTCTCCCCTTCCACTATATGTCGAGTTCCCCTCCATCAAAACCACGGCTTTTACCTAGAGCATAAAGAAGGGCTTTGTTTCCTCGAACTCCTAGTAGTCCTTGTTCCACATTGGATCTGTCACCTACACACACACTCCCCATTTCACATCATTTCGACGCCCTTGTGAAGCATACTGAAACAACTATGACGGAAAAGCGAAGCCGCAAATCGTCTCTGGTGGGCTCTCTACAGACTCTCAGGGGCACATTCGGTGCGCGACACGATCAATGGGGACTTGAGGACAACAAGGACATAACCAATGGGAGGAACACACAGAGCAGCCCACTTCCACCTAGTATCACTACCGGCATCTGCTATTCATCCCAATATCAACCAATCGTCCATACCTTCCGCCAATCTTTCATGCCCCTGTACGAAAACAATCCGTCGTGGAGGTACAACAAAGTCAACAACGACCCAAGAGGCTTTGAGATCAGTAATAGTAGGTTACAGACACATGGGTCCAACGTACAGGCCCAGCACAGAGCCTCGTGCTCCCACTATCAGACAATCTTAGGGTACTCATCGACACAAATAGTTTCAAGGATTCCGACACCGGCAAAATCCCCAGCAGGAGATCTGTACTCCCATGAAGTATATCGAAAAGAAGGCAGAAGAAGTGTGCTATCATCCTTGGGAAGACAATGTATGGGCATGAACAAAGACTCAGGCACCGTTTACAAAGAGAATCTGGATAATGAAGAAGAAAGGAAAGATTTCATCCGCGGTAGGGATACACAAAGGCTCAGTTCTGAAAGATACATGTTCGACGCCGACGCGACTTCAACACCTAGGTTTCAGACCCGAACTCACCACCAGAGAGCCAGCGGCATGCAGAGAGCTACAACAGAACTATCCTCAAAGATATTCTCTAACAGCATGCATTCAGAAATTTATACTCCTATCCCCTGTGTCACTGTATCAAAGGCTGGTCGTCCATGCAACTTGCTGGCATATGCTGATGCCAAAAGCCGACCCGTCACTCGACTGTTCGATCCTATATCAGCATTCATCTCACGGCTTGAGACAGGAGCACAGAGGAATGATCACATCAAGAATGGTGATCTCAGTGCCAATGGCCCGAGTTCCAAAACTGTCAAGGTGCTGCTGCTATCTTCGAGGAAAGAGCGAATCGAATATCACACTGTTCCCAAAGGAAATTTGGCAACACACCACCATCAGTTGTTGGAGGATTGCCAACGTGCAAACCAAAAAACAATAGCCAGCACACTCAAAAAAAGTGACAAAATGGAATGTGTTAAAAAGGGTCTCCGGTGGACGAACGGCTTCGAGAACCTGAAGCTTGAAACCAGAGCAAAAAACGATGCATTTTCACCACCTAACCGTCCGGCCCCGAGTCAAAGTGCTACAAGGCTAAGCCCCCTACCAGACACAGGGAATTTACGGCATAGGGATCAAATGGGGAGAATGGTATTGTCGAGGAGCAACCTCACTGGATTCCGTTCGAAGCTGAAGAAGCCAGGGCTAACAGTCCATGCCGACTGGGTTTCGCAGGTCAGTGAACCTCAGCCTCAACAGTACTGGCTCGGTAGATTCGTCACCCTCGTCAATGCTTTCCACTATGAAGACTCCTTCCATGAGCCGGACATCGCAACGGGGTTCGGCATGTTGTCAAGTTATTCTCGCCCGTTAGGACACCCGGATTCAAACGAGGCGGGCTACCGCATCAAACGAGCCTTCATGGTCCTCGAAAATGTTTGCATGAATGATGAAGCAAGCGCGAGTCTACAAAAGTTCCGATACGAGTACATTGGCAAATTTGGAGATGGGTGGATGGTATAATGCCCTGTTGGAAACGATGGGTGATCACAGGTATTGACTTGGATCACCACCATGTACGGAACGGAAATCAAGAGGCGCCCATAATCGAGAATGCCTATCTGTAATTCCTGTTGAAGCCTTGTCACTTCCTTGTCAGTATGGTAAAACCTGTAATGCTAGCATATATTGAAGATAGCATGGCTAGAGACATTCGCTGTACTATGGACCGCTATAAAGGTACTAGGACGCAGCACGGGACACACTTGCTCACAATTCACGAGATGGGAGGTTTTGTTTATGGGATCGGAAAGAAAAGCCTCGAATTGTTTATGAGATGGGATTTACGGGTTGATGAAAGTATGGTTGTAATGCTCCTGAAAGCTCGATATGGTCTTTACTAAAATAAATTACCAACTATACTACATATGTGATGAGAACCCCAATATAAAATGCTAAATTCAAATCGTTTTCACAGAGTTCCCACTAACGCCAGACCTGCACCAGACCACTTTGCGCCCATGTTAAAGCATCATCTGTCCAAAATGCTAATGCCAATCATGCCCCCAATCCACGTTTTGCACAAATCTATTTCCTACTCCTCAAAAAAGCTGCAACTTGCTCATGCCTCGTTACAAAGAACATCCGCTTTCGGTCTGATTTCCAGACGAGAACCCCGATCTCTTCAGCGTACCGACATGGAGCCTCATATTCTGCCAAACTAACAAAGTCCTTGAATAAGAAGCCAGGGGTTGCTTTGACGCGATCTCGTTCAAGTTGCCAAAGCCGAATCTGATCAGTGACCGTTGGGGGCAGAACAGATGGCGGTATTCCAGCCTGGTTGGACGTAGATCGGGAGACATTATGTTTGCGCATTTGAGGGTGAGCGTGGGTAGCCAGGTACGAGATAATTTGGTCAGCAGTGATACCCATCTCTATGGCGCGGCGTACCGACTGGCGGGTAATTTTGCCAGTGATCAGGTTGGGAAATCGGTACTTAAGTGTAGTAAACAGTGCAATAAGAGAGATCTGTAGCGGCGAAGAGGTATATGCATACAGTCGGTAGTTTGTTTCGACGATGATGAATCCAGATCCTGCCTTGTTTGAGCCTGTGCCAGAGGGGCCGGAGAGGGAACCTGAAATAGGGTTGCTCAAAGCGCTGGAGTCGGAGGTAAGAGTAGTAGCGAGGCGGGTGGGGTAGAAATGACTGGTATCCGGGGAATCTTGGTAGACAATGCCAAAGTCCGCCAGATCCGTCAGAGTACGGAGTTGATTAGATGTCAGATGCTTCTTATCGTACGATTTTCCAAGCTCCAAGCTGCTCAGCAAGAAAACGAACGAGAGGACCTCCACGCTGCTCATTCCGATGGCGTCCGCGCTTTCAACATAGAGCATAAGAATGTGCCAAACTTGGGTGCTGACATCCTGTAGAACAAACGCGAATCCATCTTGCGTGATCTCTACGCGACGATCTCGAATCTCGACAAGGTGCCCAGCCTGCAAAAGTTGCTTCACGCCTTTGCTCAGGTTGACATCGCGCTGAATACCAAGTCCACTAGTTCCGACCATGTATCCCAATACCCCCTCCCACTGACGCCGGGCGTACTCGTCCAATTCGGCTATGGAAACGGCTGCTCCATCTGATAAATGCGAGAGTACACCAAAGGACTGGGTCTTTTCAGCGCCTGTCAGCGCCTGACGGAGCGATGAGGCAAACGGATCGGTGACTTTGTACGCGCGAACGTTATCTGCGATCACGGTGTTAGATAGAATATGTAGTCGACCCAGTATTGACAATGCATTATCTCGCTCCCTTCAAGCGATTAAGCCCGTCAGTCATCCAGTCCGCATATCACGAAGGCTTTCAAAGTCACCACTCACTTTAAGCTTTCTGCCTTAACCCAGACCTCCAGATCTGTTGCTGGGAGAGGGTCTTTAAGATACAGAAGCGCCATGACAAAACATTTTGCTAGATTATCCGTTAGCTCCCATTGCCATAGAATATTTCAAGAGTAGAAGCAAGTGCATACCCAGGTCAGGCAACATGCGCCTGAAGATGGCAAGGGCGGTGGATGGCTGCTGGTAGAGCTTGTAGAAAGTCGTTCCAGGCAGGCTTTCCAGATAATCAAATGGACGGGAGGGAGCGGCGGCCATGGCCATATTGCCTGCGGGTAAAATAGGAGCTGTCACCTCTGCAACATGATGTGAGCCACAAAGGTTGGCTAAGGCGTAACATTCAGAGATCAATCTTGATGTGGAATGGACAAGATTTGCTCCGGTGACCAAAGCGGCTTCGGAGCGCAGTCCGAGGCGATTAAATCATCTCACGGTACTAGACTGGATAACTAACGACTGTATTCTTGTCTCCCGCAACCTTCTACTTCCTTTTTCGCCTATAGTTTCCTTGATTAAGATGACGGCTTTGCGGTTCGTTAGATCGGTAAGTACCTACAGCTGCTATTGCTTCATTCCTTCAACTAATGTCATTGCTACCCCCAGGTTTGGGAGTCCTTTCGGGCTACATCGGGGCTGGAGCCTCGGTAAGTGACAGCATCAGTGACTAGGAAGAGGTCGTTACTGAAATTTGATCGCTGTGAAAGACTACTGGATAATGTAAGGTCTATCATAACTACACTGCATATCTTTATAAGATACAGTGACTTCAATCATGAAGAATGATAATGGAATCTTTCATTCCGTTAGCTTTGTAAACATTGGCCACAAGCTGAGGTTGTACTAACGGCTCCAGCTTCGTGTGACTGCCGCAAAGCCTGGTCTAGTGAACTTTGAGCTAGATATTCAGAAAGAGCATACGGTAAGGGTTCAATCTAGAGTATGCTAACCCAGTCGACTAACATTCGTGCCAGAATCGTCTGAACATTCTCCATGGCGGTACTATCGCCAGTATGGGTATGCAAGCATGACAATATAGTTCTTCTCTCATCCCGGTCACACCACTTACAAGCTTGCATTGATATTACAGTGGACCTCGGCGGTTCTCTAGCTGTCGCCTCGCGTGGTCTATTTGCCACTGGAGTGTCTACCGATCTCAATGGTAAGCTACAGCCCAAGCTAATCGTTGAGATTGATGTCCAACGTGCAGGATGGGTCTCTGATTGTCGATCTAGTGACGTATCTCAGCTCTGGAGGTAAGGTAGGGGATAAAATTCTAGCTGTATGTTAATCGAGGCCCCATGCCAGACAATTACAGGCCCAATATTTAGCTGCGTGGGTCCGTGCATGCTGACATCACTACAGGAAGCTAGCTGTGATAAATGTAGGTTCCCCAGCTATCAATAAACTAACCCGATTATGCGGGACCTGCAGAGGCATTCACAGCTGTCCGTTTGGTCACTAAACGCAGTGTCTAACTTATTCAACAGTCGGCAAAACACTCGCATATACATCTATCAAATTCATCAACAGCAAAGGCGAAATTGTTGCCAGAGGAAGTCACACCAAGTATGTAGTCTTCACGCAATGTAACCACATTGTAGGATACCACTATACTAATCCCCCAATAGATATATTGCGCTTGCCTGGAAGGACCCGCAGAACATTGTTGAGGAGCTTGGCGGGCGGCGGTCATGAATAGAAAGTGCTAAATTGTGAAGACTAAACATCAGGTCATTTACTTATATATACTCTTGGGCTCCAATAGTATCACCACAACTGCTATTATATATAAATAGTATAGACACTACTAGTTGCTCTTTTCTGCAAGCTATCCACAAAACAAATTTCATGATACATTGGAAGACCATTTCACTGTAGTATGCAGCCAATAAAATTCAAAACTCGAACAATCGTTTTCCAACCTATTCGGGTTGAAATCCCATCATTTTTATTCCTACACCAACGATCCCGATAAACTGAAGACACACGTGATACAACGCCACCGTCATTGAGCATTCTACAGCTATTCTGAGCCCATGATCTCACAAACTTCAATTCTGTAGCCCTGTGTACAAGACCAGACGGCACTTGTACTAGTTGGACCGCAAAATTTTACGCTCCAGTGAAGACATGCTCGTGCAGAGGGTCTTCATCTTGTTCTTCACCTGCACCAAGCATGACCTCGTCCTCATCCACTAGATCCTCTTCACCATTCGGTATCACGTCCTCAACCATGATGTCTTGCTCTCCTATTGCCTTGAGCTTAGCCTGAGTCATTTCGAACACATACTGGCCAAGATGCTCCACTCCTTCCATCGGTGTGCCTTGAACCTCATCACTCAGCGCTCGTGCAGTTGGGAACATTTCGCCTGGAGCAAGCATGAGTTTATCGGGGCGTTGAAATAATATGTCAAATGCTGGCTTAAGCTCATAACACGACTCGAATACCTCGCGCCGACCGAGTATGTAGAGGCCAAGACGGGCACGAGAAAGTGCAACCGTTAGACGACGGACATCACGTAGGTAACCAACCGTACGAGTTCGTGTGAGTGAGAGAATTACATCTGTAGAACCAAGTCAGTAAAGGGTTGCACAGAAAAATTCATTAAGAGATAAATGGAAATCGACTTACAGTCGTTTTGTTCGCCCTGATACTTGTCCACGGTAGTCACGATCTTCGGCATGCCGAACAAGGCATTCTTAGCGCAGCGGTGGTTCAAGACATCCTTTATCAGCGCTGTTTGTCCCGCATAGGTAGCAAGAATGGATATCTTCGACGCTGGGTAACCAAGTAACCGCATGTATTGATAAAGGGCTACGGCGTATTCTGCTTCACCCAGGTTTTGAATGAAATGAGGTGCAGGTTCCCGTTCACCCGTGCCCTGGTAATCAGGAACGTTGATGAATTGGTAATCGAATTGGAACCCAGCATTCGCCTGCTTGAACTCATCGGCCGTCTCAACTACTGATAGGTTTCCCAGTTGCTTGTAACGCCAGCGAAATAGTTCTGCGATGCTACGTCTCGAACGACCCTGCTGATCAAGCGTAATTACAGGGACACCCAATCTTACCAGGCGAAGGAAGAGACTTTGTTCGAAATGTGCGTATTGCCGGAACGCAAGGTTTTGGATGATTGGGGAATTCTGGAGATGATCACCGCAGAGTACCACGCGTTTCAATGGGAGCTGGCCACCCTTCATTGTTTGCAAGGCGGAGGGAATGAAGCTTTCAATCTCCGTGATCTGCGCGGCTTCTTCCATCACAACATTGTCATAATGGAAGCCAAGATCGGCAATCTCCTGGCGGCGCATTGCTGCATGCGTGGATGTCATTGCGATGATCCTGGCCTCTTTCACCAGGAGGTAATTAGCCTTGTCTTTTGGTTGCCGTAAAATCTCAAACGGCCGGATATCTTCTAGCTCAAAGAATATCTTGTCAATGTGCCGCTGGCAACCTTCTGCTACATCTAGCACTGCTTCCTTAGGACCTGAAGAGTTGAATACGGGCCGTGGGGCATTGGAAAAGAAGGCATGGAATGGGAAAGCTGCAATGATCTCTTCGAGAGAGATATTTTCGTTGCGGGCCTGATCCCAAAATTTTGCCCATGCAGGCTGAATGTATACAGTGTTGAAGTACCCGGCAGTCTCGCAGGAGTTTCCATGAGCGCCCTGTGCTCCAATCGATGATGCTAACCGGGTAACTTCAGAGAGATAATAGTTACGGTTATCGAGGAACGATTCAACCCGGCCATATTTGCTATAGCTTGACTCGGTCTCCAATTCTTCTTCGCCGTGACCAAGGCGCAAAAGGTGGCGTTCGTCGATATCCAGTGCAACTATCTTCTGGAAAAGTTGGTTTAACGCCTGGTTGCTGTGCGCAACCAAAAGCGTGCGCTCATTAGGGAAATCATGGTAGATGTTATTAATGATTTGCGTTGCAACATCCGTCTTTCCGGTTCCGGGAGGTCCGACAATAATAGTTAACCCAGGTTGTGTCCCAGATGCGATAGCTTCCACCTGAGCTGGTGTGAAACGGACAGAGTTTAGTTTGGGCGCATCGACAGGATACGGGCCTGGATTAGGTGGCGTATATGTCGAAACACGAAGTGAGTATGAGGGTGGTTTCTCCTTCTCGGTTTGATCTCTCCGCCGCTTCTTGGAGGCATTCACGGAAGGTGTTTTTTGGGTATCTTCAACATATTCGAGCACATAAGGCGGTCCGAAGCTTGATGTCTCCTCGCCAGAAGGTTCAATTGTTGTCCCCGGGAAGCTTTCTACCAGATGCTGCCAGTCCAAGAACGTATCGCGAAAATCGACCGATTTAAGTCTGTTCGGCAATTCTGTGTAATGGGCCCCTGCGGGGTCCCCATAACCCAAAAAGATGTCCTGCAGCCAAGAAGGAAGAGTTATATCGGAGACAATGAGCCTTTGCATAGTCTCCAGTATAGATTTGAAGTTGTTTTCCCTTCCCTTTCTCCTTGCGACTACGTTGACCAACGGATAAATATCTGGCTTTCCCTGCATGCTACGATCTTTATCCGCTTTGAAGGCATCAGGGTCAAGATTAACCAAAAGTCTCCTGATGCGTGGTCTCGATCGATGGCCATTGGTCTGCCCCGAAGCGGGTTCGCGCAATGGGCGGCCATTTTCATCAAGTACCTGCACTATTTCTGCTGTTCTGAGGTGCGTTAGGCTAGGGGTATCAATTGGGGTGGGGTCCTGGAACGCCAGTTTGTTTGCAGCGCCAGGCTGCACGGCCAGAAGGAAAACCACGTCGTCGGGGCGGAGGGACTCCCATTCCATCCGGACGTGGTCTGCCAGCCTGCCAACCTCAATCACGATCTCAGCTCGCACAAAAGCTGGGTTTGTGGAGCCAACCCTCGGGGGCGCAACCTCGATGATAGCAGGTTTCGAAATAGGGATAGCCATCCGGGAGAACCCATCAAAAGTCAGACTTTTGCCGTCTCGACTGGCTCGGGGCTGCATTCGCTTGACGATCGTTTCCATATCTTTGCGAATCTGGAAGAAAGCTTCGGATCGATACAAGAGAAATGAGCGCCATAGAAAGTCCCCTAGGCTCAAGTACTGAAGGTTCAATTTTGGAATTGCAAGGGGCCTAGATCCGTCATAGGTTTCATTCCGTAGCAAAGCTGGGTCGTAGAGGTTTTCTTCTGTCGGAACAACACTTAGGCGTGATACAACATCTTGAAATGGTGCCTTGCGCTCGTAAAAGGATAAGAGTATTTCTAGATATAGATGGCGATCGGGTGTGATTTGACACTGTTTCGGATAGTCTGTCCGAAATCCAAGGTGAGAACAAAGGCTTCGGAGCTCAGAGTCATCTAAAGAAGATAGCTGCCCTTCCAGCTCCGGACGTTGCTCAATTGAACCGTAATTCGACAAAGCTAGGATCATTAATTTGTCCTTAAAGTATTTCATGGAAGTTCGCTGCAAGTGCGCTAGCTCCTGGCAGTGGGTATCGTACACTGCCTGGGGTGATAGGCTCTCGCCTGTATAATCGTCAATTGAGAATGTAGCGAAATGCTTTAAGAGATTATACAAGTCGCGGAATAGCTCATTCTCCGAAGATCGGTAGAGTTCCGATAAGCGAACGACTGGTAGAATGTTGAGATCTTTCAGCAATGTGTTGACATATCGTCTGGTGGGAAGTTGGCTTTCTAGATCCACTAGGAACTCAAGAAACCTTTCACAATAACGCAGGTTATCCGCCTGGTCCTTCTCGGCGCCGTTCAATCTCCGAAAAAAATCGAGAAGCATCGTGTAGAGCCATGACCGGTCAAACCTCATTTTCGCTTTGGTTGTTTCGTCTGCTGCATCATATCGTTTTGTGGCAGCTCTCCACGTTTTCTTCAGCGTGGGGCCCTTTACTAACACCTGTTCTCGTGCATCGTCACTCGAGAGATTGTGCCAAATCGAAATGGAGACCAGAGGTGCACATTCCTTCCGTATCGAAACATTCTCGAGGGATTGAAAGGAGCCAATTATAAAGGATACTATGGACAGGCGCGACGATGTAGAAAGGGACTGGTCGATACTCATGGAGAGAATTCGATGGAAAAGGTTGGAAAAGTCATCCGGTCGATCAGAGAAGATGTCTGGTGTTCTGTAAGTACCTTACACAGGATTGACTATATGCAGGAGTAAGGTAGACTCACCCCATATCGGCAGATGTTCTCGCTGTTTGACAGTGACAATAAGCGCCAGCAGCAATACATGGTAGTTCGAAGCATCTTCTGTGTAGGTCGGCCAGAGAAACCTTGTGACCGGTTAGTCGAGGCATTACATCGCTAAGAGTGCTATATGAATGGGTACTTCTCTAAAATATTCAAATTTTCCAACGTTAGAAGCGAGCGAAAGCTGAAATTATCCGCTTCGAGAGGGTCCCATATATCCTTCTTGATGACATCCTGCTTGACTTTCCGGACCTTGGATGTCTCAAGCCAATGAGTTTTGGCTAACTGCACCCACACGCTGTCTTCGCGAAAATCCTCAACGGTGGGCCTGGAATCAAGCCCGTGCGCCATTGCCTGACGTGATTGTAGGCCCATTCCTTGACGTTAGGTTTGTAAAAAAAAAACAACAAAAACAAAAAAAAGGACTCCGCGCCCTCGTCGGATATATCTGCGCAAGTGGTCCGTCGCGGCGGGATGGGAAAGCTTCTGGCGCGCGGTTAAGGAAGTTGCTTCCAGCGGCTAGAACCCGCAGAGCCGCAACAATGGCCCCGTGATCCTTTATTGTATCGGGAGCTCCTTACACAGCACAATTCCCGCATCTCCTTCATCCCATCTTTACTTGGAATTGTTGCTCGCAAGGATGGCCGGCGAGGATGTTGAATCGATACATATCTATAGGAGATTAGTTGATAGTCTCCTCGCTCGAGCCGAACTAGTCAAACCGGACAAGCAAATCGAACCTCCGTTGACAGAAACACACCTTGGAGAAACGATCTGGAAAGTGGAAGGCGATGATGAGAAGGTTGCGAATAGGCTTAGTCAACAGACACAGTTTGCCGCAGTGGAAATCGCATTCAGGGAGAGGTTTTACAGTTTGCTTGTAAGTAGCATTATTGTTGCGATCCTTCCTGTCTACCCATGAAGTTCAGGAATCGCTAACCGACACTTAATGAAGGCCACTACATCCATTGATGAGCCGTCGTTTATACAAATATGGAATCTACTTGACATAATATCAATCTTCTCAGATAATGGTTCGTTTGGAATTTAGTCTCGCGGCCTCGATGGTGCACTGACGAATCGACAGAACAGTGTGAGCCCGGTCTTATATTTTGGCTGATGGAGGAACTACTTGATAGCCAAACTATTGATGGTTGTCGCAAAGTTTTTGACTATCTTGAGTCTCGAAGAGAACGGAATACTAAAGTATGTACAACTCGGAATCCTCTCTAGCGCAACTATTGACACCGCCGAAGAAACACTTTAAGCAGAAAAGTTTAATCATTCTGAGATCCTGCAACGAACTGCTGCGGAGGCTTTCGCGAGCTGAAGATACTGTCTTTTGCGGACGTGTCTTTATTTTCCTCTTCCAGAGTTTTCCGCTAGGGGACAAGAGTGCCGTCAACCTTCGAGGCGAATATCATACCGAGAATGTCACTACTTACGATGAAATCATTAAACCCGACACCAAAGTACCAGATGAGGCGGATATAGTAATGTCTGACGAACATGAGCCGCCAACGACTATTGTTGAAGGCCAACAAGAAAACCACGATGCTGATTCGCCGTCTATTTCGGATCCTCAGGTCTCCATTCAAGATCAATTGGCAGCCCCGAAAGTCATTATTTCGCAAGTTGAAGGTGTTGATGAGAAAGCGAACGACTTGAACAGACTATATCCTATGTTCTGGGGCCTCCAGGCATATTTCTCTGCTCCAACAAGGATATTCGATCCCCAACATTTCACCACATTCAGGACGGGACTTGAGGCTACCCTTTCTGCCTTCAAATCGGTTAACACAGACCTTGAAAGTTCCAGCACGAGCAAGACGTCCGAAGAGCTTCGAAAATCCAACAAACGAAAGAGAACTGCAGACGGCCAGGAAATTGCAAGCAGTTTCAACCCGAAGTACTTGACAAGCAGGGATTTGTTTGACCTTGAAGTAAGTTTTTTCTTGTTTGTCTGGCTCCCTTTCGGTGGCTTGTGCCAACTCTCAAATGTAGGTCAACGACACAGCGTTTCGGAGGCATGTTCTGGTTCAGGCGCTTATTCTCCTGGATTTCATGCTCTCGCTTACTCCTAAGGCTAAAGCAAAGCTAGCCGAGTTGACTAACAAATCTGTGCTCTACGGTTTTTTATTGAATGAGGAAGATGTAGGAACCACCCACGAATACCTAGACTCATGGCCTTTGTTAACAGTTGCAGGCTAAATGGGCAGTCAAGATGAGAAAGGCAATAGAAGAGTATCTTCAGGACGGTGTCGGTGGAAAATTCTACTACCGAATGGTGGACACCGTTTTGTCGAGAGACAAAAATTGGGTTCGCTGGAAAGCTGAAGGCTGTCCATTAATCGAGAGACCCCCTGTTTCCGTAGCGGACTACCTCGATGCTCGTGAGCATGCAACTAAAGTCTACGCCAACAAGCGCCTTCGGTCTTCGCCCATGGGCTCGCTAAACCTGAACTTCCTCTCTGAGGGCGAATCACGAGCTGGTCTTGAGAGGCTTAAGGAACCTCAAAGGTAAGCACACCCGTGGATAATCATCGTAAATCTGATTATTTGCGAATTGACAATATCGCAGGTTCACGGTACCTTCCTCTGATTCGTTCATGATGGGTATAATGGACGATGAGTTAGATATGGATACTGCACAGACAAAGGAGGATAAAGAGAACGCGACACGCGCTAAAGCGAGCAAGACTTGGCGTATATTAAGACTTTCCGCGAAAAGCAAGCTCGCGGCGTTCGACAAGATTGAGGATGGCAAAAACCTAAAGCTGCTTTTTGAGACTCCGCAGCCTTCCGAAGGAACTCCCCAGGTTCTTGAAGGCACCCCTCAGGCTCAAGATACAGTGATGAAAGCCTCAACTGAGGGCGAGTCTGGTGGTTCGGGGCATGACCATGGGCCTAACAGCTCCGAACAAGGGAATGCCACCGTTGCCACCGAGAAAGGTTCAGCGGATTCGAAGGATGCAGCAGCAACAGCAGACACATGAAGAACGCCACACAGGCGGCCAGAGAACGCATTGTCATGATTGGCTCTCATTGGCGCCGAAGAACGAACCCCTACGATCCTGATGGATGCTGATTCGATACACCGTTTGATGATTTCATGTGCTTGTATGCATCACTGTCACAACACTATGCGGGACTCCTGCAGTACCGTAAATAATATGAAAGGGACATTAGTATGTGGACTGAGTTTTCTAGGAAGAGTTGGGGCGTGTTCATGATGACGAAGGACTTGAAATGGGAGATTACGGCGGGGGGATCTTGGTCCTTTTGATTGGCCTCGTTTGATGACCCTCATTTTGGCGTGCAGTTTAGTCCTCAGTTGTGGCAACACCCGAGGTTTCCCCCGCCCCATCAGATAGCGTGCGAGCAGGAGCAACTTTTAGGAGCTCATGGGGACCGATAGGGAGGCGACAAAGGAATAATGAGAGGGGTAAGAACATAGTAAGGGTACCGCTGACCGGAAATTGGAGGCTTCCTGATAATCCACTTCGTGATCCAGAGAGGGGATTAATTCCTCGAGGTAGTCTGGATAAACCTGCCAGTGCCCAGACTGCCTCTGAGAGCACGCCGCTTCTTTGGCAACGCGGACGGATAAGCTACGGGCGAGGGTCCGAATGTCTCGGGGATCAGCAACTCTAATATTACATACTACACAGTAGACGTACCTGCATAACCGTGGATCTCGCTGTACTTTCTATCTATCTACCTGCTACATAAGGATCGTAAGTATATCACCCGACCCGCTGAATGATTCCTCACTCCTTGAAGATTGCCCCTTGATAACTGTCATGCGAGATTACAGTGTGATTACTGGGCCCAATGGAATCCGGGTGATCTGATACGCCACGTTTCACCATCCTAACCCGATAGACGCTTGATCCCTCTATCAACTTAACTTTCAAGTAAGATTAAGTGACTACCCTACGTATGTGCATACTTGCAACCGAAGGAGCAGTTGTCGCTTGAGAGTTTCTGTAATAATCTACTGTGTATACATATTTAGAGCTGTTCCCCGGCCTTGAGGGGCGAAGTGCCTATTCGTATCAACATCAGGTATATCATATTTCGGCTTGCGCTGGTTTCGTCTCAATTCATCTCTTACTTCTGCCTACGTCTTTAGGGCAATGATTACGGAGAGTGCCATGACTCGTTCAGGTCCGATCCACGGTGGAAGTGACCTGTATATTGGCTAAAATTTATACTGGTAGTATCTTTCGAAGCGAGAAAGATCCCAGCCGAAAAAGGCAACTTTGGTGAGGGCGAAGCAAGTCCACCTACGGAGTACCTAGTTAGTATAATGTTCGCATGGCTTCGTTTAGCTCTTCTTCTAGGGTTTTTCTTTTTTCCTTTATTTTAATTTTTTTTGTCATCATCATTATCATTATTTTTTTTCGACAGGGGCTCTTCATATAATCTAGCCGTATCAATCCATTTAAACATTAATAAATGAATGTACCTAGGTACAGAGAGGTATGTAAAGTACAGAACCTACGGAGTAGTATACTATAGAGTAGGTACTCTGTAATAGATGTAGGTATAGATGCGAAGCTTCTGATTCGTAGATCGAGGATATAGGCAGTTCTTTATTCGTCCTAAAGGAGTAAGAGGTCCATGGAAAACCTTGTCAGGGCTAAACGACGTTTCACTGTTGCCAACCGACCCGCACAGACACTTTTTCCACAATGGTTCCCGCAGGAACCTGCATCGGAGATGATACCAATCGCGCAATTGATTTTATTCCGACAGGGGTACCGCCATGGAAAAATATGAGGCCCTGACCATGATAAACTTTGGAGAGGTGTGTATGTATATGTATGTATGTATGTATGTATGCATGTTATTACACAGTATTATCATTATTATTTCCCTCTTTTTGCTCTTCCCATTCGCTGCCTTTTTTTTCCCTTTTCTTTTGCTTTTTCTTTTTTTCTTTTCCCTTTTTACCCGCCCTTCCTCTACCCGGTCTCATTTAGTTCTGCTGTAACTTCATTGGACTCGGAACAATTTGGCCGAAATCTGGCACCCGAAGCGCAGCGCCAATTGTTGGCTTGCGTAATGGGATCGATAACAGTATCCACTTGTTACTAGCGGGAGTTGTTTCCACCGTCCAAACAGAAGCAGTAAGAGTCTTGAGAGATGATGTAAGTTATCTCTCAATTCGAACCACAGTCCGTACAGACCGAATGAAATTAGAAGGGGCCACCAGTCTTCTTGGCATCCACGAGAAGTCTTGAAAGAGATTAAAGTTGCTCCTCTCCATCCTTCTCACCCACTCACCTTCGATCGGCCGCGATTCCTGGGATCTCCTTCCCCGCACCCACACGATGGGAATGAATGTTTGATTGCCCTCTTCAGCTGTGATCGTCCTCAAGCCCTCAGAGGATGATCCACTCGACGCTTGCTTTTTTCACAATGTGGCTCTTGGAATCCAGCTGAGAGTCATGCCACCTCTCATCTCCATCTATCCACATCGATGTAAGCGATTCCCATCCTCTCCCCCACTTGTCGGGTATGCCGAAAAAGTATCCCTAGAGAAAGTCCGTTTTCAGCTTTTCCGGTGGAACGGGGAGTTAGGGGCGAGGGTTAAGGGGCAAATGAGGTGAAATGGAAGTGAGAATGGAAAAGAGAGGAGGGGGGGGGGGGGGGGGAAAGAATCTATCAAACAGGCACATCCAATGCAGTCGGGATCTCAATTGAGAATTACTCAGTCCCGAGATTTTGCCTGGAATATTCAGTCGGGTATTTACTTAGTTCAAGGTAGTCAGGAGTTGACCGGAACTATTGCACTCAGCCATCATTACGGCGGACTACAAATCACTAATCCATACAGAGTACGGAGCTGCCTCCCCTTATTCCTCGATCAGGAATCATCCGGTGCGTCTATTGTTTTAAAAAGGCAGAAACATTAAAATAATAAATCACTATAAAATGAAAAAAAAAAAATAAATAAAAATAAATAAATAAATATAATTAATATAAAATAAAGAGAAGAAAAAAACATGTAAAAAAGTAAAAAGTTAAAGTGACAGGGGAAGAAGAGATGGACAAAAGAGAGCCAAGACAAGCCGAGGAACCATTACACCGTTTCGATCCCTTCCCTAGGTTTCTGACTAGTTGAGCGTTATGGTCAGCATCGGATGGGGATTAAACTCCGGCCTAGGTGGTCCTGGAACTATCCGAAGCCTGATTTTCTCTCACCCTCTTCTTGTTTTCCTTAGTGGCCTACGAGGTTACCAGTTGTGTTGAGGGTACTCTTAGTACACAATACCTTCTGCGTTAAGGTAGAATGCTGTCTGTTAGCCACTAGTAAGGTAATCCGACTAAGATCCATCATAGGGGTGAGACTCAGTGGCTCTGGCATATACATACTAGTAGTAGTAGGTATAGGTAGTAGGTATAGCTGGCACCAGGGGATATTAAGGTGCAGTACGGAGTTACCGTACCGACTTACGGAGTACACGACTCATGCAATTTATGATTAAATCTACGGAGTATATTCATGCCAACTGACCTGAATCAATTAGTTGCAGCCACTTCTGCATCCTCGGTAGTTGTGTTGATATTAATCACAGTGTGTAATAATATGACGGCGTGTTATTGATCATATTTAAATGCATATCATATCCTCCCTTACATTTTAGGACATACTGACTGACAGACAGACAGACTCGGGCTTACCTTACCTACATGGCTATATACGGAGTATATACGCTCTCCCTTAGGTTCATAGTGCATACACCCGACCTTCATGGAGGAGTGTGTACCTTGGGCTAACTTTCAACGTCGATTAACCCTAAATACCTAAAAAGTTAAGTCCTGCTCCTGTCTCTCATTGCTGGATAAATGCCCCACAGTCGTTGTTTCCACCTGTCGGTTCCCCTATCTTCAGAGATTTTTTCCCCTGGTTTTTCGTTCAAGTTTTCTGGCCCTTTTCCTTCTTTTACTTGTTCTTCCGTAAATCTTATTTCGGTTTCCGACATCTTATCTAATATTCACGTATGTTACCTTTAATTTGCTTTGGCCCGTCAAAGCAATACATTGGCCCTCATCTTCTTCTCTATCCACTTCCCTCCAGTCTCATTTCCCTGAACTGTTTCATGCAAGTTGTCTCGGTGGAGCCAATGGAAGCGTTTAGTCTCTCCCAGTCAATTTGTCCCCCTCTTCCAAGTGGAGAGAGCACATGAGGCCGCCACTCAACCGAGTCAACCGTTGACTGCACGATTTTTAGCGTCACGCTCGGTTCAGAGACCGTTCAGGTCGCCCAGTGCATGGTCCGCTCCCTGAGCTTTCCTGAACTCGTCTTCAATAGCACTCTCTTTTCGGCCGCAGGAGGCTCGAAACTCGGAAACATTCTTCATTTTCTCCGCAAACCCTGGCTATCTCTTGAACTATACTGAGATAGGCATGGTGGTCTTACCTGCTGCTCCATTTGGTGGCTCTCTGGCTAGCATAGTACGAGAAGCTGTACGTACCACTCCTACGTATACGGTCGGTTCTGTCTTTTTTGCGCACACCCAGCCATGGGGTGGGCGTGCACCCGAGCGTGGTTGACAGCGGACCCGGCTAGTAACGGTCGATCGATCGTCTTCGTCGGTGGACTCATCCTTTTCTCTGATAAACTAATACCCCATCCTGGGAAGGAGAAATGAAGAACTCCTACAGTTTGAAACCAACGGTTATTTTAGATATTCATTCGCCTCCTGCTTTTCCTTGAGGCCCCGCGGACTGCTTCTGTCCGAGAGAGTTACTTGCATGTGTATCCTCTGGGATGGACGGATGGGGGGTGGGTAGCAGCTAAACTAAGTGGTTCTTAGGCTGAGGACTTGGTCCTTGATCTAACCCGGTCTCCGGCGGATTATGGAGCCAACGCACGACTAGCGCTGTCGGTAGCCCTTCCACATGGTGCACCAGTCTTCACTAAAACAACATTGGTGTCGGATGAGCTCCAGCCAGCAAGGGTCTATTTACCCTTCAAACAACGGTTGGCTAGCCAGGAGGATGGCTTGTGGGTGTTGGACTAGGGTGTCCCAGACTCGTTGACCCGCACGATGCGATGCGATGGTTTTGGTCGCAGGTTCCACTTCGGAAAATTTACATGCAATCATGACTGTGAATTGTAAACCTCCGCTGAGAAGACAGGCAACCTGCGTTGAAATGAACAGTTAGTCGGACATACTTGCAAGTTGGATCGTGAACCATTCCTTACCCCTTATCTAGTCCCTTTACGCAGGGCTGCGGCCGTCTCGGTCCATCTGACTCTGTTTGGATGTAGGTGGAGTGCTCCATCGCCACTTTAGCTTCGGCGTAGTCATTCTTGTTGCTTCTTTCCCCCATAGTGTATATCGTTTATCCTGGCAAGCTCACCCTCCCTCCCTTCCTCTCTTTTTTTCTCTTTATTTTTTATTTTGTTTTATTTTATCATTTTTATACAATTTCCCCCCTGTCCCTGTGCCTCACTGAATACACTCGTTACTTCCCTTGAAGGTCTCGATACACGCTCGGGACAGCTCTCAACTTGACAATTTTGTTGGTGTTGTCATCTTTAGGAGACTTTTCCGGTCAGAAGATTAGGTGACCACCATCGGCATTCCTACAATTGTTGGTTCTAGCGCATACGATACTACATTAGACTTGAACCCATCGAGGGAGATCCCCAGTCACTACCCAACCTTCTTTCCACCCACCATTCCTACTATTGCGTCTGTTCTTCTACTCCTTGTGATCGTTGGCTGTCACCCTTAATTACTACCGGGGAATAAGTTAGCAATCGTAGCCTGGTGTGAGATCTCCGTGTGCTGAACTATCCATCTGTGGCCCGTTCAAGTCTTTTAATCGTTTTCCCTTTAAACAGCCGGCCTCTTATTCTCCCCTTTCCTTTCCTCTACCCACCTACTTTTATTTCTCTTGTTTTTCTTTTTTACCATTATTATTATTATCTTCCATTTCCTAAGGTTCAGTCTACGCGTTAGCATCTTGTCTGACGTTCGGGTTAACTCCCTGTATCAAAAAGAGACAGTTATTCGTCCCCTGTCTCCGCCGGTCCCGCATCAATTGATGACAGTTCCTTCGAGCCCGTTGTTGCATTCTTAGCACTACCTCAAGGTGGCCAACGTGGAAGATCCGGTGGACCGCTGTTGAACGTGATCAAGACTACCGGCTAGGACTTCTTTTCTCCTCGTCTTATTCCACTACCGTGTTTGTCCTTATTCTTCACCCACTTGACTCGAACATTGTGGGATCTTTTTTATATTATCCTTCTTATATCTTAGCTGGCCCCAGCGCTCATCAGACGGTTCGACCCCATTTCTTGCCGCCGTCCCAGTTTCCGCTCATACTGGGCATTTCTATTATTGTCTTGAAGAGACATCCAGGCTCAACGTTGTTCTTTATCAACCGGAACAGCTTAATAATACCTGAGAATTCTACGCCACACCCTGTCTTCTGTTGATTGACGCTCTTGTCTCGAATTTCCGGGCTCAGGATATACTAGTTTTGACGAGAACTTTCAATAAGCATTCCCATTTTCCTAACCGCAGCTATCTCGATATCAGTGACTAGATACGTCGAGTTTTGGCTGCTGATCTTTGTTCGACAGAATATCTTCGCTACTACATGGAGTAAGGAAGTTGATATCTTCACTACCATGTCAGTCAGTGGACCTTGTATCTGGTTATCCTCTTTGCCACCCCCGTCTAGTTCTCATTTGACTGCGATTACGAATTCTTGGTCGACGCCTTCTTGGAACGTTGAACAGGCTACTTCGAGGACAAAGGCAGTCTCCCCTGGGTTACCTAGATCGTTGGAGAAAGAAAGCGATTCAGCAAAGACACCCGTCGATATGCAGTCTGCCGTGATTAAGGCTGAAAATGCCTTCTCAGCCGGAGCGCTCGTAGGTCCGTCAAATTCGGTTCGATATTCCGGGGTAGAAATGCCCTCGGACACCTCGGAGAATCGGAATGTGCAGGCTGAGGGTGACGCTTCGTTGTCCCGAATGAAACTCGAAAGACTGAACCACAGTGAACCACTTCTCTCTATTCCTCGAGGGGGGTCCAGCCCTCAAGCCCCAAGAGAGTTCACTCCAGAAGCAAGAACAGGAGATCAAGAGGAACAACACGAGCACGACAATGCGGAAGTAGGAGCTTCTTCGGACGATGGAACAGGGTCGCCGAGAACGGCGTTGGACCCTAAAACAGAGAAGAAGAAGATGAAAAGATTCCGGTGAGCAATCGGGCGTGATGCAGTTCAACGTTAATAGAACTCGGCTAACGACACTGGAAGACTCACACATAATCAAACTCGCTTCTTGATGAGTGAGTTCACTCGTCAAGCACATCCTGACGCTGCGCACCGAGAACGATTGTCAAGAGAGATACCTGGGTTGACACCGCGGCAAGTTCAGGTTTGGTTTCAAAACAGGTATACTTGCAGCTCTATCCACCATCATAATAACACACTAATGCCATGTTTATAGGCGAGCTAAGCTCAAGCGGCTCACCAGCAATGATCGGGAGCGGATGTTGAAATCTAGAGCACTGCCGGAGGACTTTGATACTACTCAAGTGCTAAGGACACCCTTCGACAACAGGACTTCGTCGGAAACACCGGTTCCGTCTCCCCTGAGCCGTATGGCATCTATTTCGGGCGCTAATGCTTCAAAGATGCTCCTGACGGACGGACTACAACGACTCAATGACGACGACTATGTGATCTCCCCACTAAGCTCAGCCTCGACTACAACAGGAAGCGGTTTTCCCTCTACTGGCGCTGATCGGAATTTGGAGGGCTATATGCCAAATGGCACGTTAGCAAACCGGGCTGCGCCAACACCTGTCCCCGAACTACAGAGACACAACCGTAGTGCCTTCCCCTTTTCGAGATCCAGCAGCTTTTCCGAACCGTCCTTCAACCCAAGTCTGCACTTCCCCGGCCGATACTCTAGACCAGGTGAGCCGGTCAGTCACCCTGGTATGCCATACGGGCGGCGACCCGTGGATTACGGAATCAGCCGCCCAGGCAATAGTATGGTCGTTGGATACGATAGCCATCGGCAGTTGGAAGGTTCTGTCTCACCAACTGGACAAACGGATCAGCCCATTACATATAGTATGGACGGTCATAGTATGGATTCCGTTTGTACCCTTTGTAGTTGTGCTTGAAACTGACTTCTAGCTCATAGGCCAGCAATTACATAGCTATCAACCTTCGCTCACGATGCCCAACTCGAAAGGATTTGGCGGGCTCGACTTGAACTCTCACATGCAACCGCACGGAAGACACATACCTGCTCTGCAATCGCTATCGGTTTCAGACGCTCCAGACTATCGACACTATTCGTACAGTCACCATCCGTATAGTATGAGCGCTGCTATGCCATACACCCAGGCCAATGCATCTAGTATGAGCCTTCCTGCGTCGTTTCCCTCCGACACAGGTAGTGCGTCACATGGATCTGTTGGCGGCTCTACTGAAGACCGAATTAATAATCCACCACAAGTCTTGGACCCATTGAGGACCAAGTTCAGCAACCAACCATTCGAATACTCTAACTATCTCTAATCCCAGAGCCTATTGGCGACAGCTTCACTCCCTACTCTACTCCCGCCGGTCTTGACTTCTTTTAATCAGTCCTTCACCCCTGGTTTATATCATCTTCCTGGGCGGCTAATATTTTTTTTTTATTTTCATCTTTTTATCTGTGGCTAGTATTGTGTGCTATTTGGCGTCCGCGTCTTCATTCCAGTATATATTTACTTAATCGTCGTCTGGGTCTGTTGTGTTTACAAGGAGGGGAAAAATTATTTGTTTTTTTTTGCATAGGACTTGTTAGCAGTTTCGCTACGAGATGTTATATTGGCGTTTATTCTCCCTGTTTCCCACAACATGTTCACTTTTCCTTTTCACCTCAGCTCCCTTCCATATTTTCCATTTTAATTCCAAAGATTTTCTCTTCCCGATAAGGGGGGTTTGTGTGTGTGTGTGTGTGTGTGAGAGAGAGAGAGAGAGT